CTTTCTCATCACCTCTCTGAATACTAACTGTGTCTCCTCAGATTCTGACAGGCATGTCTTAATCAATGTGTTGGCCAGAGCCTCGTGCATAGACTCTAAAATAAGAAACTTTAATCTTGGCTAATGAAAACACAAATCAATCAACCCCTTTTTTAATCATAACCTGTGCAAGGAGAACAGCCCTGCTCTAGAAAACACAAGTAATCTAAACCGGTAAGAGCACCCAAGCCTACGCTGCCGTCAAAAATATGAAACAGCATGCCAAAAGCATCCAGTTCCCCGAGAGAGCATTAAAAATCAGACAGGACACAACGACCCCGGACAAAGGATTCACTCCTTCCTGATTGACTCCAGGGAGTCTCTCTAATGAGCTCCCATTTGTAATGACATTAACACAGAATGCCAGTTAATGACTTTGCTTTTAACAAACAAAGTTTCACTGTATGAATTTATTCTTAATTAATCTCTTAAGAACTTGTTGGAAGTCCCAGGTTTGCACTCTAACAATTAAGATGAGGAGAAAGTGATTATTAGACAACGTGGTTGGTTTGACGAAAAACACTGATGCTGTTAAATCCAGCCTTGTTTAATTACATCTACATGTGGCAGTGTCTGGGGATGTGTCATGAATTGAAAATGTAGGCTTAACCCCTTTGCAATCAACAACCTTCAGGAAACAAATGATAACCCTTTTAGCAATGCCCCACCTCATACAGAGCAGAATTCGGTCAATGTAAAATACCACCTTTTTCAAAGGGTTTCGTTTACTTGTTTATGATCCTGGATTTTGTGGTGAGGGTGCAAAAAGGTTGCGTTGTCAGCAGATCGATGCACCACTTCAGAGTGTTAAATTGTTTGGAACGTTTGCAAACGCGGTTGTTTTGGGGATTTTCTTGTTAGTTTCGTTTCCAGTCTTGACTAAACTTGTCTCAACTAAACATTGTTCTTGATTACTTATGTTTATTATGTAGATAATGATAAATTCAGTTTATGCTAATCCTAGTTGAAAAACGTACCTTTTCAAAAAGCTTTTGATTACATTTAAAATTTTTTAGCCATTCCTGGCATTTTCTTTTTAATGAATAGCTGTGGTGTCCTTCTTTTCCCTCAAACTAACTTTTGTGCCTCTTAAGCCAGAGGGGTTCGGGAGCAACAGTGAGCAGGGTATAAATGGCTTAGCCAAAAATTGATATAAACTGAGCTAAATACATCTGATGTTGATGATTTTGTTTTACATTATGCGCTTAACCTAAAATCAACAATTCAAATCGATACAAATCAGGGCCGTCATATATGACAGCTATGTCGATAAATCCAAATCATGTAAAGTGAAAAGTTTGGCAGGGAATTTTCTATGAGCTCACAGAAAAGGTACGGAAATTCATGTTTTCTGCTTGTGTCACTCATCGTAAAACAACATTTCAGTATTTATTTGTCTTTTGCAAATAGGGTTTGGGCTGCTGCATGCAACAGAACAATGTGGCATTTATTGTTTCAAATGACACAGATTAGCCTTTCATCCTACGTATTTCAGCACTTTCCACGCCATTACCTTTAGACATCTTTATAGTAGCATAGAAAACTGTATTCCTCCATTACTAGCAAGGCAAATGCAAGTAAAAAATCCATTAAGCACGTCGGATGGACTCAAACACATCACAATGAAAATCACCTTTAGAAAGGAAACATCGAGGTCAATTTGACAATGGAATGGGATTCAGATTCTTTTCCGTGAAAGTACTCCATAAGGCAGCAGCATTGCAACAGGAAACATTTTCTCCTATTGAGATATCTCCCCAGTTTGCTGTTGGGCTGTGGCCTCCGAGACATTTATATATAGAGCATGACGGTGAGTCATCGCTTTGCATAAGGCAAGGACAGTTGGTGCTAGACTAAAGAACTCTAATGAATCTTTTCTTGTCTCCTCTTTTCTTTATCTTTCTTTTTCTGCTCTTCCCTTCGGCTGAGCTCAGCTTAAACCCTGTCCCCGCGTCCTTACAAAGTCACTCAACTGGATAAAGTAATTTACCTGGATGAAGAGGGGTGAGGGATGAAGCAAAAGGAGGCGGTGCAGAGCCAGAAAGGCTTTGACAGCCACTGCATTTATAAGGGCAACACAGGAAATTGAAAATACGTAAAAATGACAGTGTGACAGGAAAACACAGAGAACACTGAAAGATGAATTGGCTGAAAATTGAATTTTATTTTTTACCAACTAAATCAAATTCTTTTATGTGCGCTTCTGTTCTGGAATCAGAGAACACACAGAAAGAAAATGTAAGTTGGAGCTACAGAGAAAACAAAAAACGAGGTGGTGCTTTATCTTTATGAATAACAAAGAAAATATCCACTTGCTTGAAGAGCAAAAAGAGGCCAGTGATCTACATAACTTCAAATGTATCGGCAAACAATCATGAAAACCTCTGCAATTCTTAAAAGTTGTATTTCCCAATGAAGCACTGAAAGAAAGTTGCTTGTTAAGTGGTCCAGTAAATTGACTTCAGTGAGATAAAACTTTCCATTTCTGGTCCAGAATTGTTTGGTGTGAACACAATGAAACAATAACTTTCTCATTAAAGTTTCCATCATTTTTCATTTGCAGATTAAGTATTTCTTTAACAATGTTTGATTCATTTTCTCTGCTAAGAACTTTCCTTTTTTTCCTGTCATGGTTCATTAAGTAGAGTGTTGTTTTGTTTCCAACACCCCAAAACAATTTTTTGGTTACAGGAGTAATTTAGAGCAGTTTTAACAACAATCCCTTTACGATCTGTTGAAATTGTATCATAAGATATATGACCAGATACACTAGATCAGTGGAAATGAACCCAAAATACAAATGATTGCAAAGAAACAAAGATTTTACCCCAAATACTGTATATCTATATCTTTTTGTTCGTCTCTAGTTAAATATCCATACATTCTAACTGCAAACTAATCATTTTTACGATGTGCATTTAGTATCTTTGGAGGCCATCCATCCATATTATTGTTGAACACTCAATTGAAGTTACTTCCCCACAATATTTTAGCTTTAGAGAACTTTAAATCAAGTTGACCAAGTCTTATATCAGAGTCTTATGATCCATTATTATTAGTATTCTCCATTTCACTATATATATATATATATATTTCCCGAATAAAAATACAAAAAAAAGAACAACTGGACCCTAATAGTGCTGCCTTTCAGATCTGCTGGTGGGGCCAAAGAGTCCTGTTAAGTGGAACATGCATCTAGAGAACATAGATGCCTTTATCCTTTGACACAGCTGTCCTGATGATTAGGTTTATCTCTTCAGTCTATGTATACGAAATGACAGCAAATGTTACAGGGGTGTGTGAACAAGTGGTAGGGTGTCACACTTTGATTTCCAAAGGAAAAGAGGCTTTTACATTGCTGACACAGTGAAGGACCCCATGAATGTACACACTGGAGATCACAATAAAGACTTATCCATCAATTAACTCATTGTTTTATCAGTAGTGTGTTTCATTTTAACTCGTAGATATGATTTTTGTTAGCTTTTCTAAAACACAAACAAATCTAATTTCTGGCTACGTGGATGATTCAGATTAATGTATCTTTTATTTGTCTTAAATGTCATATTGATCATAATAATGCTCATAAATAAAATCGATGAATGGAATCACATGAATTTGTTTAATCATATGCGACAGTTATTATTAATAACTTCATTCAGTGAGTTTTGTTTGAAATAATCTCCTTTATGAAGCAGAAAACAAAAAAGGTTTTTCTGCAGTTATTTTTGCCCTTACGTTGATTAGCTTCTATACTCAGGTTGAAACACATTGCAATTTGATATCCAGATTTATCTTTTTATCTGTATTTGAATGTTGACGTTTAATCTTAAAGCTGCTTTAGTTAACAGGGTTTATTCGCTCTGAGTCGTGCATCACAGGCCAGTCCTCATTCTCGACAGATTAAAAATCCTCTGCCTCTCTGTCATATTCACTCAGTCGAATGAGTCTGTTTAGGCATTTCCTGGTGACCCCTTTAAGTCATCAGAAAATGTGAAGTGTCACTGTCATTTAAAAGAAGCAAATGCACACAGTCATACTTGCTTTTAACACAGGGGTAAAATTTGCCTTGGACTCGGTGCTTGGGGCAGGGCTGTGAGAAAACAACTTTTCCTGACAGTGATGATAAAAAATAAAGACGTGAACACTGCTAATTCACCATTTTATTTTGGATGCTTTATTTGCCTTATAATTGATCTTATATTGCTACAAAGTTACATGCATGGTCAGAATATCTCTCCTCCTTTTTCGCCGATTTACTGATGAGCTGACCTGGTGTCGGTTGATCCAAATGTTTTCTTTTCCAGAAAACAGAGGGCATTTCTGGAGAATGAGGTTGATCAAACATTTTCCAAGTTGGTTATGATGAATTATGATTGATTATTTCAACACTTGCTGTTAAACAAGCAAAGAACTTGAACAAAAAAGCAGTGATTCTACATCTCTGCAAGAAATTGGTTTTAGCCATTCTTTCTGTGGATTAAAAACAGGTTTCCGCTGCAGTGTTACCCGAATCCTACATAAAACTCATTTTCCATTCGTAACACTGAGCCATCCACTCCTTTAAAAATTGTAGAGGAAATGAATCCATTCCCCACACAGTTTTACTTGTGATTGGGACTTAATTATTAGGATAAATAATACTGTGCACTTTTGAAGGTTTCTGACTGCACAAGTTAAGATAATGTATTTATTGAATTATTTCTAATCAAATACTCATATATTGTGTACAATACTGTTAACAAGTTCTCAGTTGTGCAACAGGGATAATACATTGTCTCATAGTCAGTCTTTGGCTTTGTGTCCATCCCAAAATCAGACTTGATGATCCAGGGACAGGGGCAGGAAGTGTCTCAAGTGTTTTTAAAATATCTGATTGTGTCTGGCTCCAGCCTGTCCTTTGAGCGGATCACCTTTATGTTTCCTGCTCTGTACATCACTGGCATGAGGTTTTGTGAGCTTTAAACAGCCACGTTTGCCAGTCTCGGGTCTGAGTCCTGCTCGTAGCGGTAGTGGTAGACCTCCATCTGGTCTCGACATGCCTCCCGGATGTTGTTGAGCCACCGTTTGATGCCTCCACGGTTGAGGTACAGAACCATCAGAAACACTACTCCAATCAGGGCCAACACAATACCGAGGAACACGTAGGAAACCGCTTCCAGGTTCTCGTTCATACAGTCCACGTCTTCTGATCGGAGCTTTTCCACAGGGAACCCCCTCTTGGGCTCGGGCTCACTGCACAGGAGCCGTCCAGCGTCCTGGCATTGGGAAGAGTTCTTTAACCAGTAGTAGAATGCCTCCAGCTCACAGCTGCACCGAAAGGGATTTAAAGACAAATAGACGCGTACGCGCCTTTGCTGGTACAAACTGGTTATGTTTTCCTTATCGATGCTCTCTATTGAGTTATTTATAAGCACTAACGCATGGAGGCTGTAGATATCTAATCTCTCTAATGGTATAAACTTCAGCCTGTTTCCAGCCAGCTCTAATCTATGGAGATTACGCAAACTTTCTGCGTTCAGCGCGTATGACAGTTGCGCCATGGCCGATGGCATTATGGAGTAATTTAAATACAGAGAGCGTAATTCTGGCATTCCATGGAAAGCCCTCGCTGAGATAAACCTCAACTGGTTGTGGCTCAGATCTAGCAAATGTAAACGCGTGAGTCCAAGGAAAGCATACGGTTCAACAACCTGGATGCCGTTAAAGGGCAGCGACAGAGTCGCCATCATCAGCAACTCGGTGCCATTGAAAGTGAACGCGCCACGAGGTAAAGTGGAGATGTTTCTCCCCTTCAGTATAAGAGTAGACGTCCACTCCGGTATGTCTGCTGGTAGTTCAGTTTCCTCTGGGTCGGGTAGGCAGTTCACGGTCCCCGAGTCTCTGGCACAGACGCACGACAGCGGGCAAGCGTCGTCCGACCAGACGGGCGAGAGAAGCAAAGCAAAGTACAGACACCACTGATGCCGTTTAGAATGGTAAAAATAGTGTAAAATCCACATTTTTCCCGAATTTTTAGTTTCAAAGTACAAAATAGTTGACTGGCGTTTGGGAGAAAAAAAAAAGTGAAATGGACTGCAATCCTCTCATGTAAAGTTCAATTAGGCGCATCGCTTATTGGGGGAAAACCAGAGGTGAAAAGATGAGGCGCTCTCTCCATTGTCATCTCGGTCTTGGTTTGCATTCGCTGGAGAAACGAGGAGTTGTCTCTGAGATTTTTGTTTCTGCATCAGAACATTAGACATCTGCCCTGTGCGGCTGCATGGAAAGCTGCTGATCTGCGCTCCCTTAGTGGCACTTTTGACGCCTGTCACAGAGTGAGAGAGGGAGCGAGTGCCAAAGAAAGAGATGCAGGTCTCTGCAAGGACCACAGAATTGTTTTTTATTATTATTATTATTTTTATTATCATAGTTTGTAGTTATATTTCTACACCATCTATTATTAAAACCCACATTATCAGGCTTGCTATTGTTATTTGTAAATTAATTGTGTTAATGAATGAAAGTTATTATCCATCAGTTTTCCATAAGTGTGCGTGTGCGTGTGTGAGTGTGGTGCGGGTCTGACGTGTAGCGTTGGTGAAACTCTCCACATCTACAGTATGGAGATGGTAAACAACTGAATAAGCTCAATTATATATCTATATGCCTTCCAAAACAGAGTTCTGCTTCTCTTTGTTGTTCTTGACGGTACACTTGGGACTCTTGAATAATTTCTCCCATTAGCTGCCCTAAAATAAGGAGATTTAATTACTTAGTTTCCCATTTACGCCTGGAATTGATCTGGATTAATTAAGTTCTACTTCCAGTCACTCTACATGTAGCTAGAAATGTTGGTTTGAGAGCCCTATAATAAACAAAACATTTGAATTTCAATATAACTTCCATTTCAGGAGGAAAAAATTACATTTTCATTGCTCTACTAGTTTGTGCAAAACAATGTTTTAAATGCAAGTCCTTAACAATAAATAAATAATCAGCCAAAAATATTTTTTTAAAGGTTGAAACAACATTTGTTTGATTATGTCACGTCTGGTGTCTCGTCATGTCATGATTACCTATTGTGTACACCTGGGGTTCCCCTCCCTCATGTGTTTAAATAGTCCTCGTTTCCCCTTGTCTGGTACGAGTGCGTTTTTGTCCGTTTTGTCCTTCTGATTTCGTCTGTTTTCGTCGTCTGTCTTTCGTCAGCCCCACGCCAGGTTTGCCACAGTCTTGTTATACTTTATTTTGTTACTTTGCCATTGTCATTGTTTCGCCACAGCCTTGTCACAGTTTTGTTCATCTTTATTTTGTTACTTTGCCACAGTCTTGTTTACTTATTGCTTTGATACTTTGCTCACAGTTTTCCACAGCTTTGTTTTGTATCTTGTCTGGACTTCCTCCGTTTTGTTACAATAAACCCTGTCTTCCGTCATCTCCGCACCCGAGTTCTCCCTCAAGAACCCACCTACATGACAGATTAGAGGTATTCAGTGCCACTGACAGCTTAATATTTTCAACCCTTCACACAATACTCGACTGGTTGATAAATTTGTCACAGGAACACGTGAGGATAATATTTGTGTTTTCAATATGTTCTTTTAAAAACAGTTACAGACAACATTTTTCATAACTGAATGAATAATACAGCCTTAGAGCAGATGTGGTGGTAGGAAAAGGTTTTCAAGCTTGACCATGACCTGGATGACTGAGAATCTTCACGGATATGGATATATATATATATTTATTTTTTAGAACTCATGTCGTGTACTTTTCAATGTCAAAATTCTCAGAAAAGACACTTTGATATTATTCTCAAAAACAATCAGGGAAAAAAATGGGCACAAATGGCTGTGTACTGGCTGAATAAAGACAGTGGGTGAGATGAAGATGAAAACAATGTAGGCATAGGTACAAGACTGAAGAGCATTGTAATTGATGGAAAGTGGCCTCCCTGCTGGTTCCTCCAGATAAGCCCAAAGGGCCACATTAACATCAGTATTTATTCCTACAGACAAACAAGGACATCTGCTCTGTCATCGTCTTTTCCTCTTGGGACCCTCTGCCTGCTCCATGGTTGCATACTCTATCTTCCTGTACAGAGAGCTGATTTAGTGAGGGCTGCTTTTCACAGGCTGCTGCTGATATTGTTATAGTGCCCTCCTCGGGGCCTTCAATTTGACAGTGAACCACGAAATTGATTTACTCAAGGTGGCTCATCCCTATCTTCTGACTGCAGTGATAGTGTGTGATTGAGTGAATGTGTTGGCTTCATCTCGAGCAGTTTTCAGATGAGTCTGAAGTTTTGGGTTCTAGAAAAGGCAGAGAGCTGGCAACTGCAATGCTGTGAGGTGGGAAAAAATCTCCCAATCTTGAATATTTGTCTTGTATGCAAGACAGGAGAAGATGACTGTGCATTAAATGAGGACAAGAGATAAGACAAACATTGATTGTTGCCTGGAAGAAGAGGGGGAGGACAATGGATACCTATTTAATTGAGACCACAGATCAGTGGAGATGCATCAATGAGGCGGATTACAAGAAGTAACAAACTACTTTTTATGGAAGATTAGGTCATTAAATTTTAAAACATTTTTATTAATATTGTCTTCTAAAATTAAATCGGTTCTCAGTGGTCAGAAGCCAAAGACAGATACGATGTTTCCCAAGATAATTGTGGGATTCTTCAGATCTGGATGACACCTATGGGGTGACAGATCAATTCCAATTTTAACAAATAGATACTATATGCTGAAAGGAGGCTAGAGTGTGATGAAGTGTTGCAAACTAGGGCTTTGCAACCTAAGGGCTGTAAATATCTGCAACTGAAATGAGTTTTCTCCAAAGGGTGGCAGGAATCAGCATTAGAGATGAGGGAACTCTGAGTAGAACCACCGCATTGCAGAAATGGTTTAGGTGTTTTATCACGATGCTTACTATTTAGAGTTTTTTTTTTTTGGCACAACAAACTGGAAGAATGCTCCCGGGCAGTACCAGAGCACACTGGAGGAACATTATATCCCTCCTATCTGAAACCTCTGGGCCCCTAAAGAGGACCTGCTGAGTGTTGCTGAGGTGAGGGCAGTTTAGATCTCCCTGCTGGACCTGTTACCTTTGCAACCTGACCTCATGTGAGCGTAAGGTAATGGATGGATGGGTGAGTGGATGTTCAGCCCCTTGGCAGATGGGTTTTCCCCCAACTAAATGTTAATGTCTCATTTCATTGTGCACTTTCTAATTTAACTGTGACTGTTCTTGCTGTGTGTATGCAGTCAATCATATTAATTTGACAATATGCATGCAGAAAATGTAAATTAGATTGTTTGTGTAGAATCCAATAGGGACACCATACTGCTGTAGCAATTCCATTTATCTTTTTCCTGCTGCTTTTTTTTCTCTCCTGTATTTGACTCGCAAAGCCCATGTTTCTCCTTCCAGCTCTTACAAGACTGAAAGGATCTTAAATGTAGTCTTAGTATATATGTCCTAAATTCAAGATGCTGGAATAGATACAGCACCCACTGACCGCAGAGGCAGTTAAAAAAAATGGTTAAAAATGATAGACTGGTCACTTCAGGTAAATCTCTTAAGATTTGACATAAATTTAAGAGATAAAGAATTCATTCGTAGCTTGTTGAACTGTCAGTCTGTCATCGTCGTAACTAACTGGGTGGGCGTTGTCCCAGTCCAGCTTGCATCACGTGCTTTTACACTGCTGCTTCCTTTGACACTTGGCGGCTGCGCTGGATGCTGTAGTATGCAGGCTAAACACTGGGGTGCTCGTGAGCTATGGTAGCTTCATCTAAAATCTGCCTCAATTGATCTGCTGGCACAGCTTTGGATTTTTTATAAGGTCTGTCCACTTCAATAAAAAATAGCTGTTAGAATTGCAAGGACTCTGCCATGGCTGTGAATTAGTGACTCCAGCCATAACATGATCTCACACACCATACAACTCTCCAGAAAGTTGCCGTGGGTGTTTTAGCAGATGGAGATGGAGTTTAATCTGTCTCCACTCCAGGATAGATTGCCACTCATCGGCCAACTACCTCTTGTTGTGCACCTCCGTTTGTCTTCTTCAACTGTCTGTCAATATGCCCATCTTTTCCATCTGTCTATAGAAAGACCGGCTCCTTAAACAGTACTCCACCACCTTATGAATAAGAGATCAGGGGAGGGGGGTAATGGTAGGAGTGAAGAAGCACGGCAGAGTAGATGGGGATGTAAATGGATCTTGAGGAGCTGGTGTCATCTGTCTGTGGACCATTAATTAGTCATTTAGACTTGTAATGGAGTGAGCCTTAGCCAGACAGACACAACCGGCCAAACAAAGGCAAATCACTCAGTCAGACGAGTTAGCTGTGGCTGCTGATCACTCTCTGTGCCCAAAGTGGAAAGTTATGCAAATTTTGTAATATGGAATAAAATTGGACAGTTCACACTGGACAAAGGAATTGTTGTAGGATAAGAAAAGAGGCATTACATACAAGATATTATCTGTTGGTTTAATTTCTCTCTATCATGCACACTGTAAAAACAGACAATGATAAAAATTGACAGAATTAATTGTTAATTAATTGTATTAAATAATGATATGATCAAATAATCTGTTTTCTCCATACACTATACAGTATGTTGTGAAACACTAATAATCCAGATCGATGTTGCAGATAAAAAAACAACAACTTTAAAACCTGTAACATTAATCTTGGCTATATGCACATTAACGTCGTACCATTTTGTGTCCTTGAACTCTTTAAGATTTGGAGTGTGACAGCCATCTGATCTGGATATTGATAGTCGTTAAAATCAGACCAATTACCGAACAATTAACTATCAATTAATGGAGATACTTGACCTCTGAAGAACATATTAAGGTTGAATTACAAGCCGCATTAGAGACACCCAAGAATCCCTCAGGGATAGCATGATGTTATATATAATGCTGTCAGCAAATGTTGCTTTAACCGAACCTTTTTTTTTCTTCTTGTGAGTCGAAATCCTCTAAAGGTCTGTGGGCCTCCATAAGATAGAGGCATTAAGTGCTCTTACATATACATTCTCTTTAACCTCTGAAGATCCTTTTAACAGTTTCACACAATGACTCCCCCCATAGCTCTTAGTATTAGTTTACCTATCTTCCTTGTCGATGATGTACAGAGTGTCTCTAACGATCACGTAACGAGCAAATGATATGGATACTTGGACTGTAATGTCTTAGTTTAGATTGAATTACAAAACGCTTGATATCTGATGTTCAGGTGACCGCTGTTTGTCCTTCTAGCTGTCAGTAACCGACGATACAGAAGCCCCCATGGTGGTTAACACACTCTTGTTAAAGGATGAAATGTATCAGTAACACCTTGGAAAGTGAATCAGCTGCCTGGGATCGGGCATGCAGTGGCCCGTCGCCAGTCTTGGTGGAAGAGGTTATTCAGTCAAAGTGCTGGCCGATCCTATTTCAGAACAAGGCTTACCCTTCTGTTCCTTCTTGATTTCTTAGTTGTTGCTTTAGCCACTTTCTGTTTAGATACATTTGACCATTGCTGGTTCTCCACTTACTCAACTTTACACCATATGACCTAAAAAAGAAAGGCTTTGCACTCTGAGATTACACAGAACGAAAAAGAGATAAGAGCTAAACAGGTCTTCAATGTCTAGTTTAACTCTACGAGTAAGGTCACCAGGAACACGGGGTCAGGGTTTGGATTTGATTCAAGTTGAAAGTCTTAGTTTTCAGAGTTTGCCGAGATCATCACATAAGCAGGTGATAATAGGTCAAATACTTCTCTTAACTTGTCAACTCTGAGTTGTCAAATATAGTAAATTATGGTAAATAAGAAGAAAATGAGTAATCAGAATCCCTCAACACATCCTAATAACTTAGTTCCTATCATCCAACTGTCCTGAAGGGGCAAACGCAGAGGCAATTTTCATATACAGCATGACCCAGCAGGACCAGCCAATCACACTTATGGTGACCTCCATCCATCAGCAGTCAGACAGCTCATCACATCCACCCACAGTCAGGGTGAACTTTCCAGTGCAAGTTTCTCCTCTGCACCTGAGGCAGCGGGGCACTGCAAGATGGACAGCCAGAGCCCAGAGTCCTGGGCTCTCTCTTCTCATTTATTCAATAATTAATGATAGTGCAGCTGCTGAGACATGTGAGTTGTGATCTCCAGGACTGTGTTGCTGAACAAAGGTAGTTTGCAGAGGTTCATATGCTAAATGGGAAGAACACTGTGGTGTAGTACTTTTGTGTTCATTGTACTTGTGTAGTCATTTGTGCAGCCATTTAATCCTTCTACTTGTGTTGATCATTGCGAATTGTATGCCTTGCTTTCTCAAAGTGCTCACAAGTTCTGAATAAGGTTTATGTGAGATGAGAAAGCAGGTGGGTGGCATAATGGTTAGCACTGTTGCCTCACAGCAAGAGGGTTTCAGGTTCAAATCCCTTGGGGAATCCCTGTGTCTGTGAATTCCCTCTGGGCAGTGCAGCTTACTCCCACCATACAAATACATGCTTGTTAGGCAAGTTTACGACTCTGAATAGGAGTCAATGTGAGTGGTTCTTTTGTGTCTGTGGCCCTGCGATGGACTTGTGACTTTATGTGTTTCTCAATCTCAATTCCCACCAAATGTCTCCACAGCTGATCCTGGCAATATCATTCTGAAAAGAGAGCGGAAAGGAACTTTGTCTACGAAGAGCAATACAGGCTCACATTACAGAGAGAGGAAACTGATGAACAAGAAGCATGAGCATTCAGCAGCGTAAATGTCTTCATCATCCATCCATGATTCTCTACGCTGCTGAAAATACTCATGCCATTACAGAGAGCGGAATGGAACATTTGTACAGAAAATTGAAAGGAAGGGGCATAAAGACACGGCGGAGGAAATAATGGGACATTTATTACAATGGCTTAAATTAAAAAGGAGAGGTCATTACTTATATCTGGGGGGAAACCTATTTTTAGCTTTTGAACTTTTGACAAGATAGATCCGCATTTGGTGTGAGAAAGTTTTTTTTTTTTCAATATTCCAAGTTCGACTCTAGTAAAAACATTTCCTTCATCATACAGAAGCAGACAACATAATCTTCGAATATTATTGCTGGTATATCACATAGATGGTATTAGAAATGCTATCACATGAAAGTTGTATAAAAAGTGAAAGGACAATATTGTATGTTGTTTAGTTTTTCTGGATAAATATTAAATGTTACCAAATAATCTCAATCTATCAAATCTGTTATCCCTATAAATAAGGCCAGGAGATTGACTTAGGAGGTGTGGTATCATCATCCACTGTGATTCCTGATGCAGAAAAAAATCTGGAGAGTAATGTAAGACTTGGAAAAAAAATACAGATTTGGTTGCATTTGGCTCTCTGTAGTGTACAAGTGTACTTCCAGGTAAAATGATTGATCACGTCAATTACAATGACACTTCTAAATAAAAACCTGCACCAATATGAAGTGAGGCTAATATGGACTATTTGGAAAAACTTGGAAAAGCACAGACATTTTTAAAAGCATAAATCGTACTTTCTCAACCCTGTTAATTTGACAGATAGAGATAAAAATGTTTCACTGTAGCATGAAGGGAGATTAAAACGTTTCACTGTAGCATGAAGGTGCTCACTCAACTACTCTGTCCTGATATCCAGTGATGCTTCTCACAGAGGACTTTTGCAAGATAAACACTCCCCATACAATCATAAGGCTGTTAGTTTCCATTCACGTACAAGGGAAGTTCTCAGAGTCTGCTCCAATTTGTCATCCTTCTCTTTGACCATGCCATTTTCATATTAGCAGATGAAACATGCTGATGTGATTCGGGACCAACGTGGATTACAGATCACCACCACTGCTATCTTCAGGGTCATATCCTTTGCAGACAGAAATGCTTGTCAATCAGTGATCTAGTGGTTTTTAATCTGCTTACTCAGGTGTGTGTCTGTGCTGCAGCACACAAGGTGAATAGGCTGTTCAGAAGAATAAATTGCCAAGAGGTCTTCCCATTCTCTTCACCTCATCCTATTTTCCCTCTCCACATCCACAAAACACAGAGACAGACATTCTAATTAAGCCTTCGAGTCCTCACTCTCAATTTATGATAATGATTGGAATGTTGTAACGTGAATTCAAGCAACCACAGATGTTTCACTTTTTCGTTCTGACATGAACTCAAAGGCACTGTCATTTTTTAACTACATAATAAATTTAGTTTCCATTCAGTTGGTTGGTTGTTACTTTATCTGTGCCAAAGTGTATTGTAGATTTTATCTTTACATGAGCCCAGCACAGAGGAGACCAGTTAAATGAACAAATAAAAGAACAGCCAGAAGCATTAGAGAGTTTGAGAGGGCTGGCGCTTCTTGAAGGAAGAGAGGGGGATTCGTGTAATTGTGCATTTGGGAGGAAAGCTGCAAATGGAAATATTTTGTCCAATTTTCAGAAAAGGAAACTTTATCATAGGATTTGTTTGGAAGATTTCAAGGCGCAGGTTGGCGGATTAGTGTCTGAAGGGATTGTTGCAAAGCGAGAATCAACCAAGGTTAACTTCAACATCTGTGTCACTGTGATAGTCAAAGTTCAGCGTCTCCTCTGGCACTGGCCAGCTTCACTGATAAGCTTCAAAACTAATTGTATAAACTCAAATGGTAGTGCAACATATATGTTTGCAAAAGCTTTGTGGAATTCGAAAATTCACACATTTTCCACAGCTGACCCAGGCTTTCCACTCGATAGATTTTTTTCTCCTAATTGCCTCTCGATAAATGGTTTGGTTTAGGAGGAGTACAAAAAAACATTAAGTTGACAAGGCTGTGGTCAGCTGGGATAGCTCCTCTCGACCCTACCAGGAATAACAGATGTGGCAGCTGTGATCATCAGATCCTCAGGTGGAATTTTATTAAAAAAAGAGACAAAAACATTTTGCAGATGTGAGAGAATTCAATTTGTGTACACAGCATGCAATTATATTGCACGGATCTCTTACCTGTACTTTCTCAGAAAGCAGAGTTAAGCCCAATTTTAATGATGTATTCAGTTTTGTTGACTCAAAGTTGACCTTAGTTGAGCTCCTCATGAAGGGCTTCACCCTTTTTTACCCCTGGTGACGACCTGGTTACCACTAGTCAGCGAGTATCTGCCCCGTGGAGCACTCTGAGCACAGGGTTAACTGCTGTGAAGCTCATGTGCTGCCTCTTCCCGCCCTTGACTTCCATATATGTCTACATTTGTCAGACTGGCTCCCGACAGATACTGATCATGTGGTTGCCTCAGGATCAAGCTTTTTCTGTATCTTTTCTCGGTCTTGCTTAAACCTGCCTAAAAGAACCCTTACGGCCGAGCTTATGCTGATCTGACCCCTTAATCACTCATGCATAATGCTTGAAAAGAACTGACTTATAGGGGCTTTTTAGTTGAAGGTCTTGGGGGACATGGACTGTGGGTTCAGGAGTCAATGCTACATCTTGCTTTCGAGGCATTCAAGCATGAAATTGAATTACTCAGTGGATAACTGCTGCCATCTAAAGGTCAGAGGGCTACCTATATTTGTCACTCTTTGTAGACTTCAGAAATTAATTCACACGCTCCTGGATTTACAGGCTTCTAAACAAACACAATTAAGAACGACACATGTTTAGTTTGTTTCATTTAGAGAACCACGTGTAATCTGGAACCTGCTGGTGGATGAACTGTCTTGCAGTGCAAGACCAGTACTGAAGCATGAAATTGAAGTTATTGATGGATGCATTCTGACACACACGTACACATGCACGCACACACACACACACGAGTGTGCGCAAACACCAACAGGAAAACAGTCATTTTCACACAGAAGTTGCTCATAGTCTTTTTCATTTAATATATTTTATTTAGTATTGCCTGATACAAAGTATATACATTTCAAATATGGTCACTTTCAACGACGCTACCCTTGTAGACATTCCTCCATGGCCTTCAGCTCCTGTAATTCAGGACAGTCAGGACCGCAGTGAAGGCAGAGGAGTCTGCTGACCTTGGGAATGACAGAAAGGGCTGGACCTCTGGCACCGCTGGGAGGATGAGGGCAAAAACACGCAGTCAGCTAGATCTCCTACTAATCATGTGTGCCACAACAGTAAAAGCGGGGAAGTTGTGCCATCAGCAGCTGTTGCGGAGTTGCCAGGATTACATCAGTTACATCAGATGCCAAAAAACAGCATACGGTGTAGAACCTGCTCACCCATTGAAGTGCAACTGAGCTAATTTGAAGAGCTGTTGCCCCAGCTCAATGCTGTCTTCGCCATACTGGGAGGCAGTTGCAGCAACACTTTGCTCCAGACAAGAGGCTGCATTTTTCCAGTCACCTACAAAAACAGAGAAATGACATGCGGTAATGTGTAAAATTCTCTTGATGAACAAACCCACAATGGATCTCAAAAGTTGAAATCTAGATGTTCTTCAAGCGTTTTGATTACTTCTCTAAAACTACTATCTGTTGTGTTTTGGGGGAAAAAAAAATCGTGTTTTTTAAAGTCTGCATCAAGCCTTATTAAGTTAATATCTGATATATCTGTACAGAATTCGGATAGGTTGAAAAATGACGTGTTATTAAAACTGAGGCATGATAACGAATTATATTTTGCATAATGCAAGATAATACTTAGTGCTCAAGGCTTAAAGATGTGATTGTGAACCATCTTCAAACTTCACCTGAACAAATTTAACAGGATAAAAAAATATGTCTCCATCGTTCCTTTTCCTTTAACAGAATGCTCATTGAAAAACTGTTATGGACATCACATGGATTGATACATGCCCTGTTTAACAAAAATGCTTTAATGCTGTCTTTATTAAAGCAAACGTTCCTAAATAGGGGATGTGATCCCGTGAAACAGCATAAACAGGACTACACATTACACTGCTCACCCATGGTAGCATAAGCTCTGGCTGTGGCATCAGCCAGCTCCCCCCGTAATGGGTGTGTCTCTGCAAGGATTAGCCCCGACGTGCTCTCTGTCCTTTTCAGGAACTGGAGGGCCTCACCTACGGACAGAGTGACGTGAGGCCAAAATATGACTACATTTGCTTACTAGATTTCTTTTGGGATACAGTTTTCTATAAGCACCTGGCATCTCTGTCTCTATGAGTTGTACAGCCTTCCCCAGGGATGACCTAATCTCCTCCAGCTTCTGGTTCACTTCAGCGGAGGACATATGATTACCACAGGTCGACAACGAACATGTAAATCCACTTCCTGTGTTTTCAGGGCCTTTCTGTAAAGAAGAAAAAAAAGAAGTAAATTATTTCCACTGGTATAACTGGGGGGTAAAAGCCCAGAACTAATCCTAAATTAGATTTTTTTTTAATCCATAAAACACAAATAATTGCATTTGTACTTTGAGAACTGTTTTGCACTTATAACACATGAATCCAGACTCATGTGGCTCCCGCCCCCTGTCCCCCGGCATCTCCTCCTGAAGGCTGCAGGCTTCACAGCGACACAGGAAGTAGTACTGCTGACGCAGGAGACGCTGGCGCTCTTGTCTCTTCATCCTGCTCTTGTGAGGACCTGAAAAAAAAATGGATGCAGACAGTTGGTGACGAGTCACAGAGGATATGAATGAAGGAGATAGTCCTTCCCTCTGCATAGTCCTTTGAGATCAATATTGTCATGAAAACAACTTTTAGGGAGACAAGCTGACTAAGAAAATAATATAAATATTGTGTTATAGGTTAAAGAAATGTTGATATTTCTAAATCTCCAATTTACTATAAATATGTCAAATTACCAATTGAAGCTTGTAAATGTACATGATTTTATTTCGCATTTGGACTGGTGACACATCCAGGGTGTACCCTTTTCAATACCAGCCGGGATAGGCTCCACCTGGATTTTTTTGTTAGTGTTCTAAAAGCAGAGAAATTACCATGTATGTATTATTCACAATTATATCTCTCATATCTCACCATAGCAATGGGCGATCTCCTGTCCTGGACAGATAACTTTGGCTGCTCTGACCGTCACAGTAACTCCACAGCTTTCATATCCACTTTCACTGACGTCTTCAGGTTCTGATCCACAGGGGCTGACGGCTGCTCCAGTGCTGAAAGTCAGGCTGGTATTGGGACAGCAGGAGTGATTTAGAAGACTAAGAGTTGGGAATATTGCCGTGGCGATGCGAACTTCCTGTCTGGACTGCACTGATGAGTTCTCTGGTCCTGTGAGATAAATGAAAAAAGAATCACTGAAACAAAAATGTAATTAGTTTTTAAATAGTAATTGATATTAAAGAAGACTTTTTCTACAGTACTGGTTTTGTAAAGTAAATTTATGCTTTCATTTAGGCTGATTTAAATATGATTATTGTGAAGTAAAATATAATCTAAACCTGTGGAATCATACCTACTTTTGTCTGACATCTTTTCATGTCTGATTTATTGTTTAATGGTGACAAAGCGCAAAATGTAAACACAATGACAACCCATTTACCTGTATCCTGCAGAGCCATGACTGCCTGGGCGTTACATATCAGTTGCAGCATGTGTCTCAGAACTGCACTTCCCAGCAGCCTCAGCTCTGAACCCTCTGCTTCCTCTCTCTCAGTGATCGGTCCATCTGGTGATTGGCCGGTGGCTGGAAGGGGCTTACTAAAATTGTGAGGGAAGGGAGGGGGTCCTGCCTTCATGAGCTTCAAGCTTAGCGTTGCTATAGTGACGGCACACAGGAAACGCAAACTAACGGAGTGCTGGTCAATGTGGTGCAGCAAGTGAAAGACGCTCAGGTAAGAGTCACCATGGTGAGAAGTACAAGCGCTGGGTGGATCTGAATGGCCCTTCTCGTCCTCGTCGCTGACAGGCTGCCTTGCCATTTGGATGTTTTTTAAACCTGCCTTCAGCGTTACCCGCAGAGCGAGCTGCGACAGCACACCCGTCACCATCAGATCTGCTCCCAGTGGACACTCCCAGCGGTGGTGCTCGTCCCAGGCTTCTTGCCGACAGCCGGTGGAACAGTATCGGCTGTAACTGCAGCCCTCACATGGCACCGGACACAGAGTTTCGCTCAAACATCGGTGGCAGCGCCTTTTCTCAGCTCCAAATAACACTTCTCTTGGCCCTCTTCCTTCTTTGCCTTTGACCTCCTCCATTCCTGGTATGAGGACACAGCTGTATGGCCGGTCCACAAGGAGCACCTCCCCAGCTGCTATTCTCTCCGTAGCCACCAGGTGTCGACCTTTTTCTTTGCTGTAGCTAACAAAGGCTTGAGGACAAATTCCAGGTGTTAGAGCCCCCGATGACGCTGATCTGACTTCTCCTCTACCATCTTGACCCGCTTGGTTAAGGTGGTTCAGGCAAAGTGTGCGACGTTCCTGCAGTTTGTGGGAGAGGTGAGAAGGATAGTCGTTCTTCAAAGCCGTGTTGATATCATCAAGGCACTCCTGGGGGAAACAAAAAAAAAAGAAAGAAAAACTTGCAGTGAACCTTCATTAAATCTAAAATCACAAGCAAACCCTGAAGATCACAAACTTTAAGGAAGTCATACAGTTGACATAAACCAAAACCAGGTCAAAAATAAAACTGTGAAAGCAACCTGCAGCACACACACAAAACTGTAGCTACTGGTAGTGGATGCAAAAGACAACAGCTGTATTATTTAATGTGGTGTGACAGCTCTTATGAAAGCTTCTGTTCATAATTTAGCCCACTATCCTTTGAAGTCATGCATATTTGCAATGTTTCACTAAACAATTAGCAGTGAGGAGATAAAGTTGTCCTGGCTTAACCTCAGCCAGGATCGGCTTACCCAGAGTTAAATGAGTGCTTGTCCTGCTACAGTTCATTAAGATGGTGCTTTGAAAACAATAAAAGGGAAAACATGTGGCTTAGTTGCTGCAGCACATCTGTCAGAGGTGCAGATCTGAGCTCTATGGCACAGACACAGAGTAAAGCAACCACACCAAGGAGCAACGGAGCCTCCGCTGAGCCTCAAGTAAATATGTACAGTGTGTTTGTGCCCTGATGTGGGCGCCTTTTTTGCGATTTAAAATGTGAAACTGTTAAACAATCACAACATAATCTTTTATTTCTCTGATTAACCTCTTTGTTTGTGAGCTTATCGGGCCACTGCAGCTTGTGCTGTGAGCTGTCTGCCTCCAGCAGATTGAAATTGTCACCAACAGACAATCACATATGGGACCCTAACTTGAGTGTTTCGTTTACAGACAATAAGTCTGCTGTTAGGCTGAAATGTGAATATTACGAGGATTTGACTGTTTATTGGATTTTCTGAACAAAATCAGAATATATTTCAGAATATAAAGCTCACTGAAAGTCAAAACTTCCAGAAGGTCTGTTTAATCTGTCCTGGTTTGAGATCAAGCTATTCAGTTCATTAACCACTGCCAGAAAATGAATACCCTAAATAAGTTACATTTATGTACAGAAATTTTAAAATGGGACAAAAAGTTACAATATCATTCAACCTTTGCAAATCATGAATAGTTGCTATGGACTTCATTTTAAACAGTCTTAAAAAACATGATGCTAACATTGATCATACAATCTGCTAAAAATAATGCTGTTAGTCAATAACAAAGCAGAAATGGGAAAAACAGCTATTGTTTTTTTTTTCTGTAAGAATGCCACTACCTGATTAGCTGCTTGTCAGAGATGTGTCAGCTCACCTTGTAGTGCTGCAGATGGTAGACAGCTGCAGAGCGGTTGGCAAAGCACAGAGACAGCTGCTCTGACCTTTGAGGAGCAAAACATATGCCCTGTCATGAAGGTGGACAGATAGACAGTGTCAGTTCAAGGTGGGAGGCATTTCATGTGCGCATCTTTTGCTTCCAAAATATTAACAGTTCGAACCCACAAAACAATGTATCGTGACAAGTATATTTGCAAGATACTGATTATCGACAAAACACAATTTAATCCAAACAATACCAACATTCTGCTGCATTACGCCTAATATCTTACAGCCTTTCATTTGTGACCATGCACTCATTTCCATTTCACCTGTGAATAGTGCAGAGCTGCAGCCCTGTAGTCTCTGGCCTTGAAACTTAAGTTGCCCATCTCCCTGCATCTGGTTGCTTGCTCTGTGTCTTTCCTCACCGAGCATCCTGCAGAGACTGACTGCAAGAAATCCAGATCCTGTTGCCTATATGACACAAAGAAACCATCATTGTCCGTTAATGACTTCAGCCTTCTTCAAAACTCGAACTTGGTGTTTAATTTAATGTTGGAAACTAACCAATCAATTCAACCCGTACAAGTGAACACAGCAATGAAGTCAGTATTTTAATGCTGTAATTTCATAGTCAGTTTTAAATTGATTCCAGGCTCTCGGTGTCTAAAATGAGTTTTTAAACTGTGCCGAGCATACTTGGATTCAACTATACGTCAGCTAGTACACAACCTACTCACGTTGTCAGACTTAAAGCACATCTGAAGACATCGTCTATAGCAAGCGTGGCTGTAAAATTTTCCTTTAGATCTGGATCAAGTCCAGTCCATTTCTGTGCGACATGATCTTGCCACCGAAGGCACGGAAGATCCATAACAGCTCTAAGAAAACAGTTGCAGCGCCCTGGAACCACTTCTGGGTTTGTTTTAGGACTGTTTACCGGGTCATCTTGCAGCCGTCGGAGTGCTATCAAGTAAAAAAAAACAATAAGTGGTTGTTCCGGTAAGCTTTTTCTTTTTCTTAAAATAAAAGCAGCACAAATTTATGATTATGAATACACTGTTTGCTGATTGTAGAATGTTCTATTTAATTTTATGCTATTACGTGGTGTCTTTGTTTCCCTATTTAGACTGTATATACTTCTATATTGGTTTCTTTGTGTTTTGAATATCCTCGCTCTTCAATAAAATGATGTACCGCGTGTCTATTATTTTTGGAAAGTTCAACTTTTCGTTTCCGGTTAGTACTGACAGCTTTCGAGTTCATGAAAGTCTCGTTTTTATCTCGCGAGAACGTCTATAATAGCGATTTACGCATGATGAAAGAAATAGCCTGGTGGCTTTAGGAACAACTGGACAAGGAAAATATGAACATTACACTGACACAGGGGGCAGTTGAAGTAAGCATATATGTCTATGTGAACTTCTGTTTTAGTTTCTTTTGACATTATGTTTTGAAGTTGGCTCCGCTGCGTCCTGGAAAGTGCTAGCATCTGTAGCTAATGAGATTTATAGTCACAGCTGAATAAACAAACAATCATTAGAAAAAACGAGTCGCTCCAAGTTTTTGAAAAAGCACTGTAAAGTAAATATAAGTGGTGATGAAAATAAAACGAATTTCTCAATTTGTTTCGTAGCAGAGCTTTGTGGGGTGATGTTAGAGTTACTCTTACATTTGGACAGGGTGCTTTAAATATTTTTCAAACACTGCTGCAGCAGCAGGGTCTGATCATGTCCTGCGAGGGCGGAGCAAGAAAAATGCCACCTCATTACTGTCCAGTTGAGGATGCATTCTGTTGTTTAGAATTAGGGTTATGACAATGTGATGGGACAGGATGGGGTCAGGCTTAGTCACTAGGTACTAACTAATTCATGTTTGTTTTTATCCAGGCCTTTTACAAAGGTTCACAAGTGAACAATCCTGTTCTTCAACTGTTGGTAAGTAAATGTGAACGAGCCTACTCTTCCAAAACAGTTATATTGATATCTGTTGTGTTTTAAAAAAACAATAAGAAAAAGGTAAATATTACAATAAAATGAAGGGTCTAAGTAAGATGATTATGGGATTTCTTACCATGTGACTGTCATAATCACACAAAGTAGATACAATAGTTCTTTAAGTTTTTGATTGAGTTCTACATTGGGCTTTCCAGAACATACGTGAGATCAATAATGCCTCAGGACCAACCAGGTTCAGACTTATGATGAGTGATGGCAAGCATTCTTTATCTTGTAAGTATCTTTTAGAAGCACACAAAAAACACCCACTGTAGTTTGTAAGGGGGCTGATACTGTACTGGGGACAGTTTTTAGTGTATTTGCAGCTGTTCAACAAATAAAACAGTCCAAAAAAAAAAAGATGTTGTAAATAGTTGAGATTTACTTTACAAACTATGCATTCTAATTTTTAAAACATTTCTGACAATAATGAAGAGCCAATCAAGTGATTTACAATAAGATTGCTTTTTGTTATTTGTGTATTTAGCTTTCCTGCTGGCCACCCAGTTGAACAATTTGCCAGAGGATAAACTGCTGGTACCACACTGTGTGTGTATGTTGAAGAGGACAACCACCAATACATTGTCAGATGGGAGGTATGTTCTTCCTGTTTATGTGAAAATGTTCTTTTTGTGCTTGTTTGTTTCCTGTAAACCTTCATTTTCTTCACTTCTCATGTTTATCCCACTTTCCTTTGTCATATTTGTAGCGTGTGATGATTACAACCATGCAACTTTAGTCATAATTAGTCTTAAGGGCATTACATTACAATAATCTGGAGACTTTTTCAGGCCCACAGTGGGTTAAAGATTAGACCTTTGCTTGAAATTTTGTAGTGCTGGTTGCTGGGGGAGCAGCATCAGTGACCGACATGCCAACAGGATCAAGACATATATCCATTGTACAGAATATAGGAAATACAAATTGGAAGTCTTTTTTATCAGTGAGAGAAAAACAGAAGTAAGCTTAAACCCACTGAGCATGATCTGCAGATTTCTGGTGATCGTGATTTATTTGTGAAACAGCGTACAGTGCTCGGCAGGGTGGTGGCATCCTAAAAAAAAATTATTTAATACATCTCTAAATGAGTTGGTGTCTTTTCCATGTGAGATCACTGACCAAGCTGCTCTTTATCCATGACAATCCAAGAAACACTACAGAGACAGTACGGATTCAGTTCTATTTTCCCAATGAAGTTTTCAGGAAAACATTCCTACAATCTCACTGTACAACAGGTCATCTGTGTGCATTTAGGGATTTAGTGACAGCCCGACACTCCAAATCTTTATATAAAGTACATACACTCTTGATGGGTAAATGTTAATTGTAAGGTTTTTCATTTTTTATTATTTAATTTAATTTAAATTTTAAGGGGGGAAAATAGATGTATTATTTTCTTAATGTATTTTTACTGTTGTTTAGTGTGGACATTTGTAACTGTATACGCTGGGATGCGGTCTATCAAGAATTACAAATCCTAAGCACATTTTGTGCTGTAGAGAAATAATTAACCTGCTTTTTAAGCCTTTACCCTTTTTTTGTCTAGACTTGTGGTAGTTGTGATGGACATGGAGATATTGAAGTCAGCTGAGGAAACTGGGGGGAGGATTGGACATCCAATTCCATATAACACTGATGGTATGGCTCTTTTGAAATATGTTTAATGTAGAATTAGCAATCAGGATGTTCTGCAGGTGTTTTACACTGTGGTCAACTTGCAGGTAAGATGGTGACTTCTCCTCAGAAGGTGTCATCAACTACCTCTGAACCAGCATCCTTTTCATCTGCAGCGCACCCTGGACCATCCCATAGGAACAATAGTGGTGAGAATTCATCAAAGACTTTAGGTTATTCAATAAGGATACTTTGATTATTGGTAGAAAATGGGCATCTTGCATTGGAGGTTGTTGTCAGATTAGAAAATATGATGTGCAGTGCAGATAAAACACTGGAATAAGAATGAATAAATATAAGATAAATTAAGAAATATTAGTGACTAGATTTTTAAAACTAATTAAATTATTATCACAATATCCAGTGCTCAGAAATTAGAATAAAAGCAGGATTAGAATACAGCAGAAAAATACTTTATTCATTCCCCAGTGAGGAAATTCACATTTTTACTTTCTTGCATTTTAACATATATGCTTGGGTTTTAGGTTCATGTTTTTGGATTGATGTGCTCATTTAAAAAATTAATGTCTTCCTTGGCACCCCCATTAATAATATGGGGGTTTTCCATTATAACTATCTCAGCACGATCCGTTTTAGGTGGTTTTCCATTAAAAATGAGGTCCTTGAGAGATGGGCCAACCGTCCCGTTACATCATTTGTATGTACTTGAAGCATGAGAAAGCAACATCGTGGCAGCTATATCCCAGCTGTGGTGGACCGTGGTGTCGGTTCCAGTGTTAGCCATTTAAAACTTTGACGATCAGAGAAACAATGGCAGTTGGCCCGACTCAGCCCACTTGCAACCCCAGGCAAGTAGGTGCTAAAATGACTACCATTAGGAGGTGTAAGCTATTAAAGAAAATTAAAAAATAACCATGTAGAGACTGGTCAAGCTGTGCTGAGTAGGTGCTTGGGGAAAACCCCCAAAAGATTGACATTTTTCTTCTAAAAAATGCACATTTCTTTCCTGGACATAATCATTGTGTTTTGTTTGCCTTTCCACCAGACGCGAGCGTGGCACTATGTACAGAACAATCAAAGATCTAGTATTGACTTGATGGTATTCCCAAAATATATTTGTGTACTGTTTCGAAAGTTACTGCATGAAAGACAGAAATGGCTGTAAAAACAGCAAAAGAGTTAATCCAGAGTTCAACCTTTGCTTTTCATATCTTTGAATAAAACATATCAGAAAGCATTGAAGTAAAGACATATTTAAGACATTTATTTCTATTACACAAACAGTAATTTGATGTGATTTCTTTGAGCAGTTAGTTAGATTTCTGGGAGTTTGATGTCAGTTATTTCAAAAGAGCTCACAACCCATAATCTCACCAACAGAGGGAGCCATGGTCCCTTTAAGTGAAGGTACGGACAAAAGGGTTGCAGTCCTCTTATGGGATTTTCTCCTAAATACTGCTGTTCTCTTGCCATTATTAAGAAGCAATGCACACTTGTGTTGCATTTCCAGCCTCTACTAGACCACACTCTAACCAGCATGAGGTAAAACCTCTCTCGTACCTCTGGTGCTTGTAGCACTCCTGTGTTCAAAGGCTGTAGTCAGAGTGTGGGTGAAGAGCCACTAGGAACCGAAGACACACTTTTGAAGATAACCTCAGGAAATAATAAATTAATTGAAGCTTGCAGTTCCTTCGAGGAAAGGGTCTTTTTGTAACACGTTTACCACCTTCAGCTTATTTATGGTTTTTGCTCCCTGACCACTGTATGACAGCAAGCAAGTCATCTTCTTTTTTTCTTTACCAGCACTGAATACAGGACATCACGGTGTCCCCAATGGCTGGTTTCTATTCACATACTAGGCCTGATAAAGATTTTGTCGGGTTGGATGTTTCTCCCAATGGCCCTACCTTTCACTCGGCTATTTTATAGCATCAGACATTGCTATGTTGCAGAGACATACCCCGTAGTCCTCCTCATTGGAAGATGTAGGCATGTGGGTGGATAATGAGTGCTTAGTATATTGTGTATTTCTGCATGTGTAGGTGTGTGTCTGTATGTGCATGTTATGACTGAGGGAGCCTGTGTGGGCCGGCGGCTCCTCCAGTTCATGGCTTTATGAATATTGTGTTGAGGACTGATTCCCCCTTTAGCAGAGCACAGATGGAAAGGGAGCGGGGGAGAGTGTTGACTATTTTGACTCAGCAAAGACGAAGCTTTGTGTTAAGTAGTTTCGCAGAGTCTCCTCATTTCATCCTTTAATCAATGTTACCTCGGAGATCTCACAAGATACGGAGAACCTGCTGCTCTGTTTAATTGTTCTGTTGATAAAATGTTCCTGCTCTGTTTTTTCTGTTGTTGTTATTTTGGGGCCAAGAGCTGTTTTTTCCTCCTGACTGTGGCTTAGGGTTTGATTTCCTCCTCATTTTTTCTGTAAATTTCAAATATAATGGGTTTGCCGAATTCCATTAATCCAAGTGTTTCCATTGAGCTGTGGACTTGGTAATGACTCGGGAGACTTTTTTTTTCTTTCTTTTTTTCTGAGGGTCTAAGTTCAGGCTTCTGCGAAGGTTTTTTACTCTGTTAAATAACACAGAAAATCCCAGTTGAATAACTTGGCTCTTTGCCTATTTCACTTCACACCTCTCCTTTGTATAGTAGCTCTTCCCAGCAAAATATGTTGAAGAAATCAGTTTAAGTGCTCTAACCCAGTTGTGTTTTCTAGTGTACTGCTGAACAAGTGAATATAGACTCAAAAAAGGTTGGGTGGGTGTGAGACAGGAGAAGCATTCAGTGGCTAAAGAATAAACAGATAAACACCTAAACAAAAGTCTACAGTGTAGACTGCTGCTTTGGAAAAGATTATCTTAGTTTTGTGTTGTACTAAACCCCTCCAAAACACCAACAGGGTGTGTGTTCTATAGTGATTTCTTTATCTGAGAGAACGGGATCAAACCTTACTCATCTCAATAAATAAGAGTAACCCAGTAAACCTCAGCCTTTTATAAAGTTTGAATATAATTATGCTTGCTTATCCAAGACCAACTTTACATAATCAGATCACAATAAAAAGAAAAGCATATAGATAAGCAGATGTGTTCATTACATAAAAAATGGTCCAATTGAAGGAGACATATTGTGTCAAAATTTATGCTGGAGACCTTCAGACAACTTCAGATAGCAGCAGCTGATTTGGGGTTCTTCTCACAGAAACCCAGAAGCACAAACTGGACATATCTGTTGTCTTTTACTCTGGTCCCGAGCGGTCTTCAAGTGGGATTGAGTTATAATACTTGTTTCTCTTATAAAGCAAAATAAGTTCTGCATATTTAATTTTGTTTAAGATCAGTAAGTTATACGTGACTGCCAGGTCCAGCAATTCATTAATAACTATATTAATATTCAGACATATCTCTTCCCAAAGACTTATTGTGGCTGATGTAAAGTCAAAGGTCATGGAACAGCTGTCACAGACACATCTGCATTTCCTCTGAAATATTCATCAGAAGCCTCACTTACTGGGGACCACCCGCAAACTGCCCATGATCAGCAGAACATATTTGAATTTCAAAAGAGAGATCTGCTCTTGCTGAGGTGTGAAAGGAAAAAAAAAATCATTATTCATCACCAACACTCTTTCTCTGAATTTTATCACTTGGTCCTTACTATATTTCTTTTCTCTCTCCCTATTTTTGAGTACCTTGATGTTCAATATTTTATTGGTATACAAACTAGAAGACTGAATTTCCATTAAGAATGAAAAAAGGATATCTGATAAGGCTTTATGTCCCCACCTTGCCCCACAACCCCCTCCCACTTATCAACACCTATCATCTCATCATCTCACCCTCTCTGCTTTAGCAACCAGCTCGCTCTCTTTACTACTCCATCCTGGTAGCGTGTGCATGAATATTGATGCTAATAAAATAAAGAAAAGCTGTTCAATTCATGATATTCCTCATATAACTTACCCACTACACAGACACACACACACACACAAGGGGTTTTATAGAGTCAAATATTTGCCCATCAACAGAGCTTAAATGTGGGTCGGTTTGGAATTGAGTGATTTTATTCCTGACAGTTCATCAGCCTAAATTCTGTTATTCAATGTGGTTGATCATTTATGCCAAAACAAGGCATTACATAAAATTATGTTGACAACAGCAAACTGTTTTTCCTGAATCATACGGACAAGACTAATGCTACTTTATTGTGGGAGGTGAGATGACACTATAAGAGTCTGTGGGCCGGACCAAACTGTCTTTTGGCATTTCATTTATGGGGGGAAACAAAAGAAAAGCAACAAAAGAGCTCAATAGTTGTTTTTAGAAACAAAAATAAAATGTCTTAAATTTCTGTTGCTCTGATTGAATTTTATAAGGTATTTTTCTTTAGTCATACTTGAATTCACACCTAAAGATAATAAATAAAGAGATTGTTCCCCAGACCCACTTAGCATGTTATATTTAATTCTCTTTGGCAAAGCATCAGGTTTCTTTTGATGTAGCTGAAGTAGAAATACACGCACACGAGTACTCTGTTTCACTTATTCAAGATGTTAAAATCCATTGTTTCTTATTTTTCTAAAACTTGTACGAACAATAACTCTAAGTTTGTACGTTAATGAACTGTTCCATTCATAGATAGGAAATAGATGTATTAAATAGAGAGGACTGATGTTAGCAATTTATTGACACAAGGATCTGTGTAGAATTTTTACTGTCTTCAATATAATACATCGATCATTATATAAAATATTTTTCGATAAAATTAGAATGACCAATCCAGACTTTGATGGAAAGGGACACTTGTTTGTGGCCAGGGCGCAGAAAATCGCTACAAGTTCATATCAATTCAAGCACCGATTATGTACTGATAAAGCTCTACCCAATATCATTATTAGTTATTAACCATTTACTTTCAGAGAAATGACATTTAAAAAGCCAATCATAGTTTGTGAAAGGAATAATGGTATTCATTTTCTTTCCAAAGCAACATTTTTTTATTTCTTTTTTGCATCTTCATTCAGTCACTTACTAGACTGGTTGTAATATCTGTCATATGATAACAGTTCATGGTTACATTTCTCAGATATCTTTAATTTGTTTCTTTATTGCCCTTTCCTTTCCTTAAGGAAAGGGTAGAAGCTTCCCTGGAACATCACCCATGAAGGTTTCATCCATGCAGACTTCACCTATGAAGACTTCGCCTATGAAGACTTCGCCTATGAAGACTTCACCTATGAAGATTTCACCTATGAAGACTTCACCTATGAAAGGTGCCGGCAGTTCTTCAGCGAATGTTATTCCTATCGCTACCCTCAACCCCTACCAAAGCAAGTAAGTTTAGAAGTGTAAAACATTTTATCTGTTCATGGACTTTTATATGATCTCATATTTAAAGTCCATAAGGTGGACAGTAACAAAGAAATTAACTTGAGTCAGTTTTCCACCCCAGTTCAGTCATATGTTTAAACTACATTGTCTGATGTTGTTATACAGGATCATTTTAGCTTCCACTTCTGGATAGCACTCTGTGGCATGTTTGAAAATGTGTGTTGGTGCATGCATGCCTGCGCATTTTATGAATGCTTGGATTTCAGCATATGCATGTAGGTCTGCCCATGTCCATTGAAATGTAGTGAAATGACCGATCTAGCCTCAGAAAAAGACATTTTAAGTTTTGCACTTCTGGGTTTTTATGGTTGGCTGCTGAGGTTTTGATTCTGTTATTTGACCCAGTGGGGATTTGGACAGCCTCAATTTTTTTACCCCACTTCCTTCTCTCTTACAGTTTTGCCTTCAGGGTTCCTTTTTCCTGCTGTCTCTCCCCCCACCCCACCCATTTTCTTATTGTTTCATAAGGCTCTGTCGCTTAACAGAACATTGAAATAGAAAAAAACTAAATAAGGACAGAAAAGCAAATGTATTATATTTGTCCAGATTAAATTGATGGTACATTGTCAACTCTTTAAGTTTGGGCTCTGATAGCATAGCCTTGTTTGAAATGGCAAGCTGTAAAGATAATTGTGCCTCTAGGTGTTGTAATAAACTGATGACTGCTCTCACTTTGAAGTTGGGGAGTACCCATAGTCAGTAAATCCAATGACTTCAGCAGCTGTTCTTCTATGAGCATCTGGTGAAACTAAAAGTCAGTTCTGAACCTGTGCATCAGATATTATATAGGAACGCTTTCTATGGCTAGCCATGGTTTATGGCTATTACAGCTTTACCATTCCACTCTCTATGTGCTAAGTAACAACATCAAGAGCAGGTTATAATTGGCTTTTGATGGCCATAAACCATAGCGTAGCAGCAGCCTTATCCATATTGAGCGGGAAATGAGGATCACTCAGGGCCAGCGGCTGCTCTCGTGATAGAGGATTTAATTGCAGGCAGCTTTATGGTATGAATATCCCTCGTTGCACAATTAATAGTGCAATAAAAAAAGCTCAGGGTTGAAAACAGATGATTTTTTTAGCGGTATACATGGAGTTTTCTCTTTAAAAAGAAAGTTTAAACAGGGAAGACATGACTTGGAATTCTCACTATTTAAGATAGAATATTTTTGGAGGTGACAATTTGTGACATTTTCACTAAAGTTTGACTGCATTGTTAAAGAAAACTACAGCCTTATGATTTTTGTAAGTAGTCTGCATTTTTTCATTGTCTGTGGGTGGACATTATTGAAAACTTTGTGTTTTCTTATGTTTTCGAATTTAATTCATACGTTCATTTCTTTGACACTTTGTTGACAGGCACCAATCCAAACTCTTACCCAAACCCCAGTATACTTTGTGTCATGATCTGTGTGAGTACAGTATATGTGCTTTTACAGTGTTTATTCAAAATAACAAGTCCTTCTTTTGTTTCTCCCTAGGTGGACTGTCAGAGCCAGAGTCACCAACAGGTCTAATGTCCGTAACTGGAGTAACTCTAAAGGAGAGGGCAAACTCTTCTCCTTTGAGATAGTGGATGAGAGTGTGAGTAGGGGAATTGTAACTTTGTGTGTCATATGGCTATATAATGTATGTCACACATGGCTGTTTCCTTCATTTACCCATGTTGTGAAATGTACTGGTCAACAGGGAGAAATCAAAGTCACTGCTTTCAACAATGAAGTGGACAAGTTTTTCTCTCTGGTGGAGCAAGGCAAGGTGAGCAGATTCCATTCATCCATATCTATCTATACACAATGCGATAAGAGCCTCTTGGGAATTTTGGACAAAAATGGTAACTTTTAAATGTGTTCTTGCCCAAATCGGCCGAATAATGTAGCAGTCATGTATGTACATGTATGTATATATAAAATGTTGAGTATACGTGCAGATGAGTATGGTTGAAAATACTTCCCAAAGTACAGTTTTAGCAAACTTTAAAAATCTGTAATTTTCCGATTGTTTTGAAGAGCTTTGTTATCACCATTGTGACAGAAATAGCTGCTAGTCTGTTTGTAACGAAGCCCGCGTGCACACATTTAAATTTTTTGCGTTTCAGGCGACAGCGTAAGTTTGGTTTCTTTGAAGTGTGAGTGAATGTCGCACCCATCCATAGTCAGTATTGCCTACAGTAGATTGCAGTGAGCACTGTGCAGGCAGAAGATACAGGCGGGACTCTGGTCTTAGGGTCTTAGCTATATGCAGCTGTGAACATGTTCAGTAACAAACATGTTTTTGATAAAACTTAATATTCAATAACTTCTTTTGAAATATTTTCACAACCTGAAAATACTTTCTAATGAGCAATTTAAGTAAATAAAGATACACTAGAAAAGGGTTCCACCTTGCCCATACGTTATTCATTTATGTGAAATAAATAACCTTTGACAATATAACATTTCTTCTTATTTACAAGTATAGATTTTCCTTTGCTAAAATATTTAAATCAATGATAGTCTTCAAAATTAATATTGTAATACTGAAAATGTACCGTGAAATTTAAATCACCATAAGTTTCAGTGCAGTTTTTGGAAAAAAAAAGCTTGGCAAAGTTTTTTGTCTGACTTCCTAATAGAATCATGTTGGCAGAACATCTCACACAACCCCGTGCCGCTATCCAAAATCCTTCATGCTGGGTAGGATTAAGTCTGTCATAAAAAAAAACACCAGAAAAAAGTAAAGAAAAAAGTAATTCATTCTAATCAGTACAGCCCTGTATATTTTACACAGTAAAGCTAACTTCTTAAAGAGAAAATCGAAACCATCTGCAGTAACAGTACAGTAATTTATATTTGGCAGCATGGCTCTTTGATAGGACATTCCTGTCGTTTCTTGTACAAACTTTGAATGCCTGAGGCAGTGAAACAGGCAGAAACCATCACCTTTGCTGTATACTATATATCACTTTCTTTAAAGTTGTACAGTTTGTTCTGCAAAGCAAAAGTTTTCTGATATAGTTTTTTCACTGTTTTTTTCCGACTAATGGACACATTTTAAAACACCCAGTAACCCTGACTAACTGGGGTTCAAGTAAGGTACTACTTCTGTGTTTTGTCACATGAATCTCACAGTGTTTATGTGTGGTTAAGTTGATTATTTATTTTAAGGTGGACCTTTTCATTGCAGTAGAATACAATTTGAAGCTGATCCTGCTAACAGCCGCCCATTACTTGGCCTCCTTTTGTCCTCCTGCCCGATTTTCTGAATGTGGGTTGCCTGTAATCAACTGATTACGTGGCTACCTGATATCAAAACTTCAAAGACTTCACCTTTAATCTATCAAAATTCAACACTGTTTAGTCATTGGCCTTGTACATCAGTACTTGTGAAAAGCTGAAAAGATGCTCAGTTTAGATAGCCTTAACCAGGTGATGCCTGAACCATGAAAAGTCTCATTCGACTTTTCTTATAAGCTTTTCACCATAAGTGGGGAATAGCATCACAGTTACCAGCAAAACCTCTTTACTGCCAAAGAAGTCGCTCATGGAAAAACTTGGCAAAAGCATTTGTTGTTATCCAAGGATCACTTGTCGACCAAAGGCATTGATTTATGGCCTTGTGTCAGAAAATTTCTGCTTTTACTATTGCTTTGTCAGAAAAAATAATGCCTGCCAGCTCCATATCTTATTATATAACTAACATTAACCTTTGAATGTACTATCATCTTTTGAGTCAAATAAAACGTTTTACAATAAGTTATATGCTTGACTTCTCTTCTAGAATAATAAGGGGTATCAAGTGTCCAGATATGTTTTAATTAAGCTGATTAAACTTTTCATTGGGCTTCACCATTAGACTGAATGAACCTGGCTCTGTGTTACTTTTATTTGTGTATTTTGTACATTTTTTCTGTTTTTGTGGAGTTGGAGATTTATAGCACTAATACGCTGTTTTAACATTTTCTTTGCCAAAGTTCCAACTGAACTTTGCTTATATAAGCATAAAAACAGGATCTGCAGCAGCATTGTTGTCCTACTACACTAATAATAAAATAATGACACCATTAAAAGTCTAGTTCATATCGTCTGCTAGCATATCTTGGCATTTTAGATTTCCGAACTTTAGGAAGCAGGCTATAAAAGTCTAGTTTTTGATGTGCCAGCTGATTAGTATGAAAAACACAATTCAGATTCAGATTTCTATGAGAATTTATTTTAAATGTATTCTAAAATTAGCTTTGCCTTGTCTTAACACCCTGGAAATATAAGTAGTATTGTGATGTGTGTATGTGTGAATACAGGTAGGTAGAATTGTTAAAGCTCTTGCTCACTTCCTAATGAGTCTGTTAAACCTGGCCATGATTTTGATAGCCAGACTTACTCAGGCGTCAGCCATCAGCAGTGAATCCCAAAGCAGATCCAGAACCAATTTGTGCCCTCTGCCTCCAAAGATAAATGAAGAAATGAGCCCTTATTCCCTTCGTTATCTAAGTATTGACACAACAGTTAGATGGTATGACTGGCTCCAAGCTGCCGAAATGCCTTACACAGAAGTTTCTGTCTCTATATGTGCTAAATCAAAAAAGGAAGCAAAGAAGGGATGAGGGACAGGAAAGATTCACACACACAAACCCAGAGGCAAAAAAGAGAGAGGGTGAATATTGGAGCCTTGGTCGAGTAAATGAATAAATGTGCTTCACAGATTGAGTTTAAATTATGGTGTTAAGCTGACTCATTCTCAACTGCTGCTTATTTTCTGGTGAATTAGAGAAGTGATGGGGCTGATAGGACACTACGTCATGGTTGGACCTGATGGCTTTACGTTCTTCTTGAGACATTTTTGCTGAAGAGTGTGTGTTTTGAAGTGAAAATTTCCTTTGTAGGATCAATACAAATGGCCACCAATCCAATCAGTCATAGTTGCCTCACAGGAAATTGCTTCTTTATTAATTAATAATATCAGCGCTTTTTGTTCTCCTGTTTGTTCTGTAGGTGTACTACATCTCAAAGGCTACACTGAAGGTGGCCAACAAGCAGTACACCAAACTGAAGAACGACTACGAGATGACCCTTAACGCTCATTCATCAATTGTACCTTGTGATGACAGTCAAGGGATCCCCGCCATGCAATGTGACTTTGTGCCAATCGGACAACTTGAAAACAGAGACAAAGATGCCATCATTGGTAAGAGACTTGCCTTTTCAGTTAGACTTCATGTAACATTTTTAAAATTTGACAGGCAAAAGAACTCAACTGTAAGTGAGCAAGTGGAGCTTGTTCAAGGATAAGGGCTATAAGGCTAAAGCTTCAGTCTCAACAATCACATCTGACAAGCCTTGTTTTGCTCAGCAGTGCTCAGAAAGAGTGAATTCAGGTTTGATTGCGCTATAGTACTCTGGTGATGACAAAACTCACTGCTCGATGCTGGCTGGAAAAAGGTTTTAAGATAGAAATGCAAGTGTGACTTGCATGCATCCTGCATCAGGCACAGAGTTGTGCAGGATTGCTTTAAATCTCTCAAACCAGAGCTTTTTATTTCCCTGTCAGAAAACTGTCAGGAAATGTCTTTGAATTGCAAGGCCACTTTTGTTTTGATCCAGAGCACCATCTTCTTGTTCCCTTCTATTCTAATTTTGAAAAATCTTTTTTATCAGGACAGCCCTTTGGTGACAGTTCTTTGTGAAGGATTTTCTGTTGGTTTCATCTCAGCTTTAGAAGGTTTTTGACCACCTGTGAAACTAAAACAGGGCTGAATGTTTGTATATTTGTATATTGAGCACAATATATTCATATTTGTCTGGTTCCCCATGGTTACGGCATCTGTGATCATTGTTTCCTCACCTCAGCGTCAAGCCAGATTCTTTACCTCTGGTTTTATTGTAGGATAGTGTTTCAGCTAAAGAGACAGAGAGTAGAGTCAGAGGTTTAAGTTTTTGGGGTGATTTTATTATATGAAGATCTTTGCGCTGCTTCTGTGCTGTATAAAGTGCTATATAAATAAAGTTTTTTTTTATTTGTACTTCGTATTCAAAAGAACTTATGTGGTTTTTAAAAACTTTTTTAGCTTTTTTATACTATGTTTGAAACTATAAAGGAGTCGGACTCATATTGTGTTTCTATATTCTCTTTCCACCCAACAATTTGCATTCCCAAAATTCCATTGTGACAAGTTCTGGTTTATGCAGTAAGAGCTGTTAAAGTGTAATGTACTGTCATTTTGGATTTCACTCATGCCGTGCCATGCCCTCATGCATACTACACCTTAACTGCCCTCTCCCAGCTTTAATTAATTATATTCTGTTAATAGTTCATTATTCTGTTAAATAAGACAAAGGAACTATTGACAGGTTTCTGGCTCTTTCATGTATTTTTTCCCATCATGTTGGTTCATATTATGGGCAATAACCTTGCAGGACTCTGATTTATTTAGATGCCATGCAAATTAGCCCAACGGTGCAGCGAGCAGCTCAGAGATGCACTAAGCAGTCCTGCTGAAGAATTGTGTTTGTGTTTGTCACTGAGGGGCAGTGTTACAAGTCCTGTGTGTCATCTGTCGACTCTATCCCCACTCCCCCACACTCTATTCCTTTGTTAAATAGGGGATTATAACATGGTAATGAGAACTGTCAGCCTGTTCCTGCGGTGATAATGGAGTTCATAGGTGGATGACATCGTCTCAATCATAATGGAATTAAGGAGGGCTGAGAGAGCATAGACAGTGCACAGAGAAGGGATGAGTGTGGAGGGTAGAATTGAGAAAAAACAGAGAGAGCAGACAGGAGGATGAAGTGGTGAAAGTGACTTATTTGCAAAGTCAGTTTTTGGGCCCTGTTCAGTCATTTTATTTGATGCTTGGATATTTGGACACCATGGTATGAAAGACAGAAAATTAACACAAATCAGTAAGGCCTGTAGAGATGCTGACAATTAATTCTGCCAATGCGATTTTTCCTCAGTTTTGTTAGTATCGTACTCAACCATCAGAAAGCAGTTTATGTACCTCGAAACATCCCTGCTGATGCAACGTGGCTGATAAAAAGCGGCAGGTCGTATTTGTGCGAATGTACACAAAATACACTTATTATTTGAGACTGAAGTGTTGCATTTGTTTTCAATAATGAAGTTCACTCAGTAAGAAATGTCACATCGTCTCTAAAGCTCACAGCTCCAGAAATTGCTGCTTTATTCTTCTACCATGCACAAAAATGAGGTGTAACCATTGTCTTTTCTAAATAAAAAAGCCAGTGATAGTACTAATACTTATTGATCTGCTTCTGATTAGTTTGTGTTCAGTAGCCTTGTGACACTAACTTGACTGATGCTTTTTTTTTTTTACTGACGTTTTGACGATGGTTTTAATAATATGCATCGAAGGAAAGGCACATTATCTTGTTGGAGCCCAGCGGCGACTGATTTTTAGGAAAATAATCCGGTGTAAGCACTCGAACATGACAGGCAACATGAATGAGGAGTCTGTTGTGATCTGGAATAATGGTCTGGGAATTAACCAGCTTGTTGCGACATTTAGTTCAGTCCACTGCGTCTTGACAAAATCAAAAGGGTGTCAGCTCTCTGTTGTGTCTGATCATTACTGCTTATTATGTGATGACACTTGACATTATGTAGAATTTTATCCTGGGGACATATTTACATTTATACCATGTTGAGAGGTTTCCAAAAGCTCTCTTCACATAATGCTCTATATCATGCCACTTTTTTAAATCTTTGTTTATCTGGATTAATCAGCCATAGATGGAGATTTGGAATGATGGTTTCTGCTTGTAGATGTGATTGGAGTGTGCAAAAGTGCAGAGGATGTGTCCCGTATCACCACCAAGACCAGCAGAGAAGTCTCCAAGAGAGCCCTCAACCTAATAGACACCACTGGCAGAGAGGTGACAGTCACGCTGTGGGGAGAGGAGGTAAGAACTATCATTTCTCTCTCTGACGCGCTGTCAGTATACACAATGAATTTATGGTTTAAAACAGGACCATGTTGAGTCGAGTGTGATTAATCCAGAATCGTTGAAGGTGTTCATGCGTGTATGTGCATATGCATCCATGATATGTGATGATATTTCTGTGGGGGTCTTGCATACAAAGCACTTTCATTGCGTTTTCTGGGGTGTAAAATGTGGGTCATTTAAATGCCTTGTTTGACCTTCAAGACCACATTTGACTAGAAACTCTGATCTGAAACAGACAGTTAAATAACTTCGATTGTGCATGAAATAGAACTATTCTTCTCTAAGCTTATTCAATCTGCAATAGCTAATCCTTTGTCTTTGCCAAAGTCTGAAAATGACTTTCATATTCAACTTGCAGGTTATCTAATTATAAATGGAAACTATAAGACAAACTATAAAACTTATCACTTTCTTATGTCTCCAAACCACTGACAGACATAATGTGTAAGAAGTAATAAACATTATTTTGAGACTGAGACTCTGTGTTGTCATATAAGGAATGTTTTTTTCCACTTTGACCTCTTGGCCTCATATAATACACTTTTAGAAAGAAAATCTAAAATAAAATGATTTTAGATGTTTTCAACTATCATGTCTTTATTGTGTAAAACCTTTGAATACATAAATACACATGTTAAATACAAAGATAAACCCACTGTAGTTAAGAGACTTATTAGGTCCTACTAATCTCATATATCTTAGGGAAAGACAAAAGTGCACTCCAAATAAAAGCTGGGGTCTCAGGAGGTTAAATTACCATCCTTTTTTTTTTTTTTCTCCTGCAGGCGGAGAAATTTGATGGCTCGAGGCAGCCTGTGGTTGCCATCAAAGGAGCTCGCTTGTCTGATTTTGGAGGCAGATCTCTCTCGGCTTTGTTCAGTTCAACAGTCATGGTCAACCCAGACATACCGGAGGCCTTTAGACTGAGGGCCTGGTGAGTCACTCTGATATAGAGCTTTACACTAACAGTCACACACACCTATACCAATACCTCAATTCCACATAATTTTCCACAAGTTGGCTCTTCTTGGCAATTCCTAACAGACAATGCAAAACATGTTGTGTTTAAAGAGACAGATCCTTCCACTCACTGACTATTGTACTTGCATTGTCTGGATACATTAAACAAGATAAATTGCAAACAGAGAACCTTTTCACATGTAAACACACACACACGGGGGATGAGAAAAGCTAAGTGCAAAGTCACGAGTCTCAAACGTAAGAATAGTGTCAGCGTCTGAGCCTCTACACAGCACACAAACACATTTAACTTCCTCACATTTAGTGCTTCCTATGCAGGAATTATATGTTGTTTACTCATTAAGGAAATGGGAAAAAATAAGAGCTTTATATAGGGTGTCTTTTTGGTTTGTGTATGAGCTGGTGTGTAAGCCTATATCAATACATAATTGTTGTTTAACATAAGTTTTGTTGTATGTTTGACAGTTTGAAGGTAGAAAACTGTATCAAATAACAGAGTCACAGCTTTTAGTATAAATACAGCAAAATAAGGGTGTTATTCAGCTCCTGTGGGTATTGTTGTTTCACTCTCGGCCATTAATGCCTGATTTATTGTTCTGCTGCTTCATAAACAACAATTTGGTAATTTTTTCGTTCATTATATTGTAAAGACCCACGGGCTCCATTGTTACAGCTTCCCTTTGGTCCTATTATTCTCCATTCAATACACCATCTTATCAGGATATTCAAAAGACCGAATAAGTTGCTTTTGCTTGCTTTATAAAAAAACAATATCCAGTATATGTACTGGAAAAATGAAGATGTTCGGGAGCAGATGAAGTGTCACCACCACTTTTTAACATTTAGTGGTGGTCTTGAAAAAGACAAAGCATGTCTGTTTGACTCCAGCCCCTGTGGTGATATGGTGCTGTGTGGGATTGTTCAGGCAAGGCTTGTTTGCATAACTGAATAAAACTTGATGAATCTGGAAGATGCTTTGACTAGATTGCTCTGCTAGGATACAGAGCAATGCTTTTAGAGAGAATATTAAAAAAGGAGATAAATGAATAGGGGTGTGTATACAGAAAGGGAGATGGACACGTTTTGTAAAGCTTGGCAGTAATGTATGTAAATATAAAAAGCCAATAGATCATTGGATCACATTTGATATGCATGCTTGTCAGGTCGAGTATGTTGTAGGATAATGATCTGATGGCTGCAAATCAGTTAGGGGAATACGGGAGCTTTCGGTCATGGCTGAGATGGGTTCTTTAGATAATAATTAAGACAGTGTGGTGATTAATTCAGTGCAGTACTTCCTGCGTAAGAAAAATTAAAGCCTTTGCAACCTGCATTCAAACATGTGTATATCCATACATTTGATTTTCTGATCAGGACTTTTTCCGGATTATCATTTTTTATGTTACCTCTGATCTTTTGTACAGCGTTTCACTTTTGTATTGTTTGTTTTTGTGTTTTCTTTTGACCTACTTAACCCTATATGGTGTGTTCTATCGTCCCTATTACAGGTATGATCAGGAAGGCTTTGCACTTGACAGCCAGTCACTAACGGACAGCAGGCCAACCAGCAGTGGGTTGAAGATGAACTGGAAAATGCTGAGCGATGTTAAGAATGAAAACATGGGACATCGAGAGAAGGTGCATTGTACACAAACACAAAAAAGAGAGTCTAGTTTAGTTTTGAAAAGCAGCTTTTAGAGGGCAGTTTTACTTTTGAAAATGTATATGTTTCCTGTGAATGAGAAGCTCAGGGGCCCAGAAAAAACAGAAAACAGTCTGGCCTAATCAGGCTACTCTTCAGCCTGTTAGGAAGCCTGCCCATCATGAGGAAGTCTGCTGGTGTTTTGGTTTGCATTTATAGTTATGATGAATAGACACAAAAACTTAAAATAAGCATTTAATTGGAGCGAAATTGGAATTAATCTCACTGCAGGATGAGTCATGAGTAGCTTTTAAAAGAGTTTTCAAAGACTAAAATGAAAAAGGAGGATTTTAAACTTCAAATGTAGATTAACTTACTACTTAATTCTTTATGTTTTGTTGGTTTGGTTTTATGTATTGATTAAGGAACTAGATTCAGTTCATTCTCTGATACAGAAAAAAGTGTAAGGACCATGTGTGGTCTGTAACATAATGTGTTACCTGCTTAAAATGAACATTGTGATGCAAAGGTGTATTCTTAAAAAAAAAGTTTTAATGTGGCTTGACTGAGTCACACAGTAGGGGATATACAGATGGTCAGACGGAAAATAAACCCCGATGTTTATTGCAGTTTCATTTTGTTCACATATCCAGTTCTATATTTAAACCTTAGTTGGAAGCACATTGATATGAGTCAGAAAATCCCTTTCTTGCTCCGGCAGTTGGCTGCAGTTTCTTGTGGAATAAAGGAGGGCCTGTTCAAATGATGTAACATCAGTGAGGTTTCTACACAGCACAGTCCAAAATCACCATTGTAAAACAAGTAAAGTAGAAATAATTTCCACAGAAAGGGGTAAAAACCTTACTGCAGTCGCGTAAGCATTCATGCTTATTAAGTTTGACATCAGGATGGTTAGGTTTGCACACTCTAAAACAAGTTTGTTTTCTTGAGTTAACAACAGACTGCGAAATTCAGCCCAGTCACAAATTGTCAGCAGTTTTTATTTTTTTAAAACACATTTGAAATATGAAGAGAAATTTGCAGTTTAATTTCCTACAATTCTGATATTGTACTTTGGAAAAACGTTTTTTCACCCTCTAGAACATTCAGAATCATTGTTACTTTGTCCATTGATGCAGACAATATCAAAACATCTGGCTGGAGAAATCTTAACAAGCACTGAGGGACACTAGTATTGGCTTTATTGTGGAATGCTATTTAAGTAGCCTGCAAAAAGAAAAAAACAGTCATTTAAGGAAGTGAATGCTCAGAATCATGCTCACAACCAGAAGAATGTATTTCCCATCATTTTTAATATGTGATTTGAAAAATCTCACAAAAAGCCTAACTTTTTTTTGTCAATGTTTTTAAACATGCAGTGGAGTATGTCTATAGGGAATACCACCATAAAAATCTGTTGGTATAAAAGCCCGTACCTGTAAGACCTGCTGTCACTTACACACCTATGATGATGAATGGGACCTATCGAGGCCACAGAAAAAAACAGTTGTTAAAAAGTTCAGGTAACCTGAAGAGAGGGATCACTTGAGTTGATATGCACGCAGAAAGGAAATGTCCCAGATGCAGGAAGACGAGTTAGTGATTAAAACAAAATCAAATTTTCTCTGTCTTCCTCTCTACCCTTGTGTGCGTCCAACTGTTTCTGTAGGGTTGTTTGTCCTCTATCTGAGGCTGTGGCCCAGTTTCATGTAATGGAATCCTAACCTTTATAATTTCAAGGAATCTAATTTGACATTCTACCCATTCGTCTCTGCGTGAGGCTGACTTTTTGTGTCTGTCTGTACATATTTGCATGCATGCATGTGTGGGTGGGTGAGGGAAGGACGGATGGAAGCGCACAAACCATTTGTAATTGATGTAGTCAGTTTGAGTGTGTTGTGGTTTTGGGATGAGCATTAAAGTTGGCATGTGCAGCCATGTCAATTATGTGAAGTGGATTTTCCCTTGGTTGCCTTACCACATACACATTTTAGTTGCATTTAAGTGCAAGAAGGTGACACAGGGATTTGGTGTGATATGAATGAGAACTACATTCAGAATGTTGTGTGTACGAATCTCCAGGTAAGCGTGCGCACATAGTTTTTGTGTGCATGTGTTTGTGGGTGTCCATGTGTGTATCTGTCAGGCTGCTCTTATAGGTTCCCCTCAGTGTTTGAAAGATTAAGACTTGTCCCTCAAGGCTTCTGTGTACATGCTGGAATACAGAGGGAGAGGGGGAAACAGCAGAGAGGGAGCGATGTAGTGAAAATGCAGTGAGATTTATTCAGCATAGTCTCATTTTGATGGAATCACTCTGGTTCGCATCCCGCTGACCTCTAATCTTCTCTTAGCTGTAGCATCTGCTGTCATCAGGAGCCTTAAACAAACCCCTTTCTTTTTACACTCACCCTCCCCTCGCCTTCCACACCCATTGCCTTCCCACCTCTCCAGCCTTACAGCGCTACAATGTGCCAGAGTCTGCAAAATGTGACGAGGCAGGCACGCGGACAGAAACATGTTAGTCAAGCACTGAGTGGGAGAGGGCTGTAGCTAAAGGGAGAAATTCCCCTAATTAGAAAAAAAAAAGAGTCCCAGTAAGTGTTTCAAAAGGGTCCTTGCTGTGTGGCATGAATACAGGCTAGATGGATGGGTGGACAGATTATGAGGCTGTGACTCATTGTTAGCTAGCGGGGAAGAAAGTGTCAGAGGGCTCTAAGTCTGAGTGACAGGATGTGTAGAGGTCATGAGGACACACTGCAACATCAGCCCCCTCCCAAGGGCAGCAGGAAAACACAGTGGCCTTTTCACATTTAGTAATCTTGCTAAACACTTTAAAGAAACTGAGGGTTTTATCAAAAGGAAGCACCATCACTCAGTCAGTGAGGGATTTTGGTCAGCTTTCTGAGAGGGGTCTTTGAAAGACTAATCTAGGCCAAAATTAAAACTGAGTCTGGTCAAGGTCCTGCTTGTAGTTTTTCTTTGGTGTGCAATCTCAATAATTCGATTTTAAATTCTGGTTGATAGTTACAGCATCCTGTCTTAAACTGGTTCTCCCAGTAGAATGAATGTCCCCTGCAGGATGCAGAAAAAGGGAGTTCTTTGTGATTATTGTCGTCTGCATGTGTATAGGTACACATATTATATATCATATTAATAACTTTTCTGTTAAAATCTGGGTGCGCTTGCTTGTAGGCACATACAAATGTCTGCTTCTTCCAATAAGACATAGTTCATCAGCTGTGTGCATTCCATATATTTATTTTTATGGAAATGGAATGTCATGCTGCTCCACCGGATGAGAGAAATATCTCTCTCCTCTCAGAATGACTATTTCTATCCTTTTTAGCTGTTGATTTTACCAGAGTGAGATTGTCCGCCTTAGGTGCTAATATCTGTTTAAATTACAGCAGAATTTCTGCATTTTAATTTGATTCTGTTTGACTGTGTACTTATTTATTCAAATTCTTTACACAGGGAAGTAAAGCTCATTGTATGTGTGTAGCCTATGTGAAAGTCTGGCTCATAAGCTCGCATGTAGCCCCGTGTACATGTCAGTGTTCTTGTGTGCATGTATTAGCACTGTTTCTGCATTTGATGGGGAGAGTTTCATCTCTTCTTGCATCTTATTATGCAGAGAACTCTCAGTCTCCTGTCTTTGTAAACTATTTTACAATTGTTTGGAGGTCAAATAGGGATGTGTGAACAGCATGCACCTACCAGTTGGACCAACTGGTTGGCAACAGTTTTACAGACAATGCCAGGTCTGATGTGACTTTTTAAATCTATTTTTCATATTTCCCCTCCAGCCTACTGTAGAAGCCACACATTTGTTCCTTCACCTCACTTATTTCCTCTATATGGTATAGTTTTATGCATTTTACAATATCATTTTCATAACGCTCTAGGTAACTAGGTATCCAGTCAGTTAAGGTCATGTGATGTCATGAACATTTACCTTTACACACAAAGACATTAACCACACTTAATGTGGCACTCTACCCATCTGCTCTTTCATGATTTTTAACTTTTGTACTGTTGACAAGTGATTACTCACTGTTCTCGTGAGGCTTGTGCCACCTGGCATCTTTATCATCGACCAAGATGTTGCCTCCCACATACAACACTTTGATAACATCTAATTTTCCAGTCCATTCGTTGAACACCTTCATCATTCCTACTTGTCAGAAATTTGATTCAGCCATTGCAAAGCACCATTTTTTTTCCATTTTTGCTTGTTTGTGTGCGTTAACTGAGTGACGTCTGCCTTTCAAAGGATGTGATACAATTTTTCTGCATGAACAGGATTTTTCATCCACATTCTTTTTTTATAACTTCACTCAATGTTGAAAATAATTCATGTTAACTGAATCTGTGTTTACTGTAAATTACTTACTAATGGTAAATATACCTCAAATAACTTATAAAGCCATAATAAGTCATAGTGATGAGTTTTGCAAATTTAACTTTTAACTTGGGCCTTTGTCTCCAGCTCAGTTATCAAGGAGGCAACATCGAAGCTGAAAAAGTCAAACTAAAAGCAGACTGCAAGAGAAGTCGATTAAAACCATTCCAATTGCCAGCCGTAGCATATACCCTTATTACCCTGGGGTTTCCATTATACTCACAGAACTAGAGTTGGGTCCAAGAGACAGCAGAGCTGAATGTTTCTGATTGGTTGAAGACTTTTGTGCCTCAGTGGTCTCCCAGCTAGGCTCCATCATAACTTGTTAGTCTGTTTAAAGTACCTTTACTGTTGTTACTGGTTGTAACTGCAAAATTCAAACTTGACTATTTGTCCGTCTGATTTCAGTGATTTGGGCAGAGATATTTATAACATACATATATATATATATATTTATGTAGTGATATAAAAATGTGTATGTATAGAAAAAAAATACTTGTGAATGAGTTATGCAGTCCAACCATGTTACTGTCATAATTTCTGCCTGGAACAAGATAGATCAACACCAAGAGTAAAACCAAGTGTGTTACTCCAGCAGAATTAATTACACAGTCGCCAAACGTACATATGTAACATTCTTAAAACATATCTGCACTGGATTTGGCCATGGTTCTGTAACATTTAAAAAAATGGCAACTATTTTTCTTCAGGAGCAACAGGAGGAAAGATTGGCTTTGTAATGGAAATATGAGTGTATAACCGAATTTGCAGGTTCGATTATTTTTTTCTACAAATGTGTGAGGGATGATGCGTTCAATATCACTGCTGTTTCCGCTCAAACTCTTTCCTCATGATTAAATTTAGTTTTCTCTGCATTTTTTCCCTTTCAGGCAGAGTATTTCAGCTGTGTGGCGACAGTTCTGTACATACGCAAGGAGAATTGTCTGTACAAGGCCTGTCCAAGTGCAGACTGCAACAAGAAGGTCATTGATCAACAGAACGGCATGTACCGTTGCGAAAAGTGCAACAGAGAGTTCCCCAACTTCAAATATCGGCTTTTACTTTCTGTAAGTGCCATGTGCACACAGTACAGTGCTCATCATTAATGCTTGTTTGGGTTGCAGCTACGTCCCCAGTGATCACGTATACACACAGTCAGACTCACCAAAAATAACCCTATTTCTCCGTAATTTCTCCGGTTTCAATCCCAGGCCAACTTGGCAGACGTCGGGGATAACCAGTGGGTAACATGCTTCCAGGAGACAGCCGAGACCTTGTTGGGTCAGAGTGCAGAAACGCTAGGACGGCTTCGAGAAACGGTGAGACTCACACACAAACAACAATGCTACCACACAGTTCTCCCGCCTCACAAATGTCCACAGGAGGTCTAGCAGAGTGAGACTTCCTCCTGTGAACTGTTTGCCCCTGGCTTTGCCCTCACCAAGCATTTTTTGTTTTGTGCTTCAAAGGATGAGGCTGCATTCGACGAAGTCTTCCAAAGGGCCAACTTCACAACTCACATCTTTAGAAATCGAGTCAAAATGGAAACGTATAATGTAAGTAGCTCTAAACAGGAGGACGGCTGAACTATCTACAAACAAATACACGGAAAACAATCTTAAAACTGAAAGCTGTCTAAGCTAATCATTGTCCTGAAAGCATATATTTTTGCTCAGTGATCATTTTATAATATTTGTTTTTATCATTTTCATTGTTGGTCTCATGTCCATATATAAAACAGCTGTCTCATCTCTGCTGAGAACAAAAACAATTGTATTTCTTGCACACTCCACTCATGGCTACGGAGGAAAATGCAAAATAACCAGGATATTAAGCAGGTTGCATTGTCGCAAAATGGTTAACTGACATCTCCAGAGTCAATTTAACATGAAAACAGTAAAATAGAAGCACCTCCAAAAAATGGATCTGAAGCGTGTTTTTGTGTTTGTAAGTAGTGTGTTTTAGATGGTGCAGACCATATTACAGTTAAATTGTGACAGATAATTGCCGTAATTAGTATTTATCAAACACATGGCACAGATGGTTCTGTTTTCTCAGATCCAAGTAGCTGTTACTTATTCTGTGATGGTTTTTATTTGCTCAAGTGGCTCTGAGTATAATCATTACAAAATAATGAAGAGGGGCAAATTAGCATTTTTAATGGCTTTGCAGATTAGAAGAAATGTTGATCAGATATAACCTTTAAAATTGACTGCATGTTTGGCTTAAGGAACATCACTAAAGACTCTATAATGTGACAAAGTACAATGAGGTTTATTTTGAAAGGTTAAAGTAAATGAACCATTGTTTTATGTCAGGCCAACTGAGTGATGTTTACATGGTGCTTTATGTTGCTTTGATCAATAAGTCAAATGCTTTCAATGAGCTCATAAAAAAGACCTGTAACTTATCTTTTGCTGACTTGCAGTCCTGACCACCTCACAAGTATAATTACCACACACAATCAGTCACACTAAACTTAAATCCAGAATAATTTCAATTAGTATCTCTGTGACAGGGGAGTTGTTTAATAGTTTGGATAACAGAAAACAAATACAGCTGTGGATTCATTTCTCTTAATTACTCCCTAATTAGCATTTAGCTATTGTCTGTCTAAGCCTAATTAGCTTAATTATTCAGAGGCTAATTTGCTACTGGGGTCTGAGAGGAATGATTGAGATGTAGTGTGAGTTCTGAACAATCTGTGCCCTGACCTCAACACCATGCAGAGTTCTTAAGCAATTCCTCAGTCTGGAAAATAATGGGATCCCATATCCCGAAGGAATTGCACACAGTCAGGAGGAAAAGATGCTGGCATTAAAGTCTCTCAACACTGAATATCTCTCTTTCTCTCTGCTGCAGTCTAATTTAACATGCAGTACTATTTAATGCTGTGTTGCGAGACCATCACACTGAAGATGTTGGAGGCTTACTCAATATCGCAGCAGTGGTCAGAACAAATAGCATTCACGACTCATGGCTTTCATAGCAGATGTTCAAAGTTCACTCCTTAAGACTATATTACAGGAGTCATTGGCAATGAAGGCTAATACTTTATCATGTTAGGAGCATAAACTTTTACTTTTTAAATCATCCCCTGAGAAAGCAATATTGTTATGAAATCATCAGTCACAGGAAGATGAATGCTGTGTATAGCTGTTTGTATTGACCGAATAACTCAGTCTAACTCAATAAAAATACTTTTTTTTTTTATCAACAACTGAGTTTTGCACTACCTAAAACACAATTAGGATAATAGGTTTTACAACTGAGCTTTTTTTGTGTGAAGATAAACAATCAACTGACAAATGTCTGTATTTCACATGATAAGTAAGAGCTGTAAAGATATGTAAGTTTTAAACAACACTTACTTGCACACCCAGGCTTTCATCTCAGTTCACTTTGGTTTGCAGCGTGGTTGTTGCTTGTAAAATAACAAAGCAGAGAGTAGAGATTTGATTAACTCGTCTTCCAACCCCAATAATCAATTCTTTTTCATAGACTTGTTAATCTGACACAAAACCAAAAGACCAGACATCAAGCACTGTATTTTCTGGAAAATAGAGCAATGTAATGATGCAGCAAAGCTTAATAAGATTAAGTTAAGAAGAATTACTGCTTCAATTTTCCAAATAACACACAACTGGTGCTTTGGTTCCTGTTTTGTAAAATGTTTTTTTTGTGTAAATGTTCTCAAATGTACACTCAGGATTGGCTTATTTTAGGGCAGAGCTAGAATGACTAATTGCTAGTTGTTGCTCTTAACAATCACAAAGCACTCAAACTGCCAGAGGTTTGTTTTTTTCACTTATCAACCATCTAGCTGATTGTAGGTGTGTGTTATCCTGTCAGATATCCTTTATGGATGTGTTGGATGTTAATAGAAGAGAACAGCAACCCTTTTCCCCCCTTTATGTTGTTGGTATTTTGAGATCTTCGATCTGAGGGGCTTGGAGAGGTCCTCTTTATATTTTTCAAAAGATTGCTGAAAAACCTGCGCAGCGTCCTTTGAGCTAGTGAGTGTTTTTGAAATGCCAAAGCCCTAAGAGGTTGTACTCTCTGTGTCAAAGTGTTTTCGTAGGTGGTAGCTTGGTCCATGTGGACACCACAGAGGGTTTGTGACATGCACACTACAGCTTCCTCAAAAATCATCATGGGAGATTTCAGATATAGATGCATAAACGTGTGAATGAAGTGCAAACTTTGAGACACGTTTACCACAACGGATGATCTCTGAATACAACTGATGTATAATTTAATCAGTTACATCATTTATTATCTAAAATTATAATGCATAAATAAGCACCGGACAGAGGAAGGTGCCTACAAAAATTCATATATTGTGTTCAGATGAAATTGTCATTTCAGCCGCTACATTTTATTGAGTTAGAACTTCACAAAAGCAGGACCATTTCCACGAAATTAGAAACGTGAGACGTGTGTTTTAGGCTGTCACCTCCCCAATAAAAGGTGTTGATAGAGTTTTAAAGAGAACAAACGAGTGCAGTTAACACACAGTCTTTAAGAAACTAGATAAGGTGAGACCAATACAAGCATTTCAACTGGTTCTGGGATTTGAACCCAGGATTCTGTCTCAGTAATGCTTTAAGCTTACGTATGTAGATATATTGTTTTACAGAACGCCTGAAAAATGTTTGTGCGTGTGCGCGTATATCTGTGTTTGTGTGTGAGTACATCTGCTTGTCTAATGTGAGTGAATTGATTTGGGCTCATTGAATACATTAGTGTCAGAGGGGGGCGACTTTTTCATGCTTTACTTTTAACAGACAAGCCACAGTGAGCCAAATACACGCTGTCACTTTATATCATCAACAAACCAGACTCTTTACATGCCACTCCAACGTCTCATTCAGCTCTTTTTTGCTGTCCCAAATCATAAGAAAAGGTTTTAGGAAATGTAACGTAATTTGCATAATCTGCATGGAAAATTCCAAGTACATTTCTAAGTGTTTCAGTTACTTATTTCTTTAATGTGTATCTGACAGAAACCATTTAAGACAGCATTGGGGATACAACTAACGAAGATACTCAACAGTAGTCTGCATTTCCAACTTAGGCTGTAAATAAGGCTCAGAATCACTCCAGTGTAAACTTCGGTGTCCTCTAGGATACTTGAAACCTCAAAGGTCTTTAGAAAATGGAATATGAAAATGGATCCATGCAACACGCTTAGAATGTGTAATGTCATAGTACAAATGAAGACTAAGAAAAAAACGAACTGTTAAATCAGGAGAATTCATTGGTTTTGGTCCCTTAACGTCGGGTCACCGTAACATATTGCGGTAAAGTGCTATTTGCAGCATCATTGCACAGATCTTAAACTGAGCACAGCACGTCATTAATTCTGTTTGAGTTTGTAGCATCGGCTTAAGTGGTTTGGATGGGTGGCGTCTGTTGAGTGGGTCTGTTTGTGTGGCTGCGTACGTTTTGTTGGTGTTTTGTCAGCGTGCCAGCTTAAAGCAGCCTACCATGTTTAACGGCATTAGAGCACAGGGACAATGGGCGGGCCACTGAAAAAGGCCTCTTCTCCAGCTGTGAGTGGAATGTCAGCTTGTGCCCATTAATTTGGCACATCTTTCTCACAGCTCGCTGACATTTAGAAAACTATAATCTTTAAATAAATTGTCAGCTTTTGTCAAGTGGAGCTCTGGACCTGACAGTCCCCCATGCTGTTTCAGATGGATGCCGAATGAAAACACTAATCGAGGTGTGGAATTGTTATCGCGTCACGTTATTTATTATGCAGGCCGAATGATTTGCAAATCGTCTTTGGATCATTTGATCTAATAATGTCTTTGAAGAGACAAATTTTAGCAGGATGTCTTTTAATAAAGCATCTTGATTGTTTGATGGTGCATCATAACAGCTATAAGTCTGAAAAAAAGGTAGTCATACACAAATCACTAGAGTTACATTTGTATCCCTGCATCATTCTGTCCAGGCTTAATTTTGAGTGTACTGAAGGTGTTACTATCCCTGAAAAATGAATAAATGGAAATGTAACTAATCAAGACCATGATAAGTAAACTTGGATGTTTCTCATGGCATGCTCTTATCACAGTTTTTGTAAAAACTGACAGGTGTTTTGCTCTGTTTATTGCATGTAGAGTCATTTGTTTATTCTGTTGATTTTTACTTCTTAATCCAGCAAAATGATAATCATAATGTGCAAAAGGCCCAATTTCAGAACACTTTTCTTACTATTTAGCTTTTTCGAACAGGCTGTACATCCTGAATGTACAGTCTGTCACTTTAAGAGATGGAAAAAGTCCCCTTTCACGCTCTGTTTCCCTCACAAATTGTTTCATCATTGGGGCATTCACAGTTCACAAGTTAGAGACCACCTTTTGGCCCCAGCGGGGTCACGTGCAAAATATATTCACCGGGGTCTGGTTGGGTAATAATCACAGGTCTGTAATTATGATCCTGGACTGATTCGCTTTGCTGAATATACCCATCATGTGGTGCAGTGACCAATGATTGTGCTCTCTCTTCATAAGCAATCTATTCAAATCAAACTGAGCTTCATCCGTCTTCGGTCAGATGTAAAGTTTTTTTAAAATCTATTTAAGTTGATTTCCGATAGAATGGGGGCAAGTTTGAGACTAGAAATGAAGCTGATTATGGTTATTGCTATGTTCCTACGACCTCTGAAGATTAACCAATGCTGATAATGATTGTAATACACTTGTCACACTCATAGATTCTCCTGTATTGATTGTTTTTTCCTTCCATTGGCCCTGAGGTTTGACGTTTTACCTTACATGCTGGAATAACTACCTTTTGCAGGATTTCTCACCCTCCAAAGGGGTAAACCGTGTGATAGTTAATCTCTCTCCAAAAAAGATCGGCAATCACTGCCAGAGCATCTAGCGATGGCACACAAGTCTAGTTTTGTCCGCTTACGTAATTACAATTAGTTGAATGGTAATCCTGGAATGTTTGCCCCTTGATTTCTATGTCCTTATTTGCAGTTATCTGCAGAGATTGCCAGAGTGAGCGCTTTGATCATGAACAAAGGGAGGTCCACGTACTTTTCAGTTCATTATTAAAAGTGCTTTTCTGACGCTAAACATGATTAAAGAGGCAACTCTACCATGAACGGCATTAATGTAAGGTTTCAGATGTATCAGAGGAAGTCAGCGATGCGAATCTCGTTGAATATCCGACTAATTGGTCTTTTCCACATGAGATAACTTTGTGATGGCTCATGTTTGCCAAAAAGGGCTGACACCTGAGATCACAGAGCACAGCTGGGTCCTCTGGGTTTTTACTTTTTTTGTCCCTCGTGGCTGTTGTTAGGATGTGGCCACTTGTATGAAATCACAAACACAAGATTTGCTCAGGCTTCTCTCACCTGTTAAGTTGTTGTGGGACACATAAACTCACGTCTTTTCCTTCTGTGTTGATACAGCCCTCCCGGCTGATTTATGCTGATGCTGAACGTATGAAATTTCTCCTCATGCGACTCACCTGGACTTAACATTTTTCTTTCCTCTGTAGGATGAGTGTCGAATTAAAGTAACTGTGATGGAGGTCCTTCCTGTGGACCACCGGGAATACAGCAGAAGACTCCTCAGTAACATCCACAAACTGGCCCGCTCAGCTGAGTTCTAATATTCCCAATGGTTTTTACTGGTTTCACTGGTGTCTCTTTGATTATGACCCAAACTAAAAGATGGCACAAATTAATGACACACAAAGGAACTGCCAGTTATTCATCTGAGGTAACAGCAGCCAAACAAAGATCAAAATGCTGTCAGTAGTAGTCAGTTTTCTCGTGTGACATTATTTTTCTCCTTCTTTGCAAAAGGGTGTCCTTCTGGTTTTAAATCTGTTTTAAATGTTTGGTTTTTGTTTTAAAAAGTAGACAGTGTGTTTTTTGGTGATGTTTAATTTAAGAAGTCTGGCAGTCAACGTTAATATTTTTCTACATGTTCATCTTTTATTTTTGCTTCCGAAAATTGTTGAGAAAAAACAATTGTGATTAAAATCACATTAAGATACAAATTATGTCTTTGTTCTTGTTTCTGTCCTTTTATCGATATGACCTAACTTTCATTGTTCTAACCACATAAACTGCAGCACACATCACTGACCGGCCCTAAAAACTCCTGGAAGCTGTCACAGATTTTTTTGACGGATGTCTAAACTTGGACAAACCTGTATTTGTTCTGCTGCTATGCTACAGAGTCACAATGTCTAAATTGGTATTTATATTTCATGTTTCAAAATGGGCTGATACATGCTTCTGCAGTAGTGTGGATAATAGGCATGACCTCATTCTCTGTCAATGCCTCCTCATTCCTGCATGTTATGTGGGGAGTTTTGGAAGGTTTGAACATTTGCTGAATGGACTTTAAAGCCCAATGTCACCTTTCTCATTTAATTTGTTCCCTTTTCTTTTGTGTGTTTCTTTTGTTTGGTGTTCAATGGCAGTGTTCTATAATTATCACTTTTGAAAAACAATGGAGTCTGACATCATGGAAAGTAAGTGTGAAAGAAATTAAATGGATGATTAAATATTGCTTTTGATTAATATTTTGAGCTGGAACCAAACAATTAAAATCACTTAGAATACAAAGCGTCAGCAGCTATATAAGTTCCTTTTTATTCAAATAGTCAAACGTCAAATACTTTTTTTTCCAATATGCTGGAATAAGTAGGTAAAGACAGTGTAAATCTAAAAAAAAAGTCCAGAAGATCAGAAAGTAATTTCAAACTTAAAGCCTTGCTAGTGATTGAGACTTAAGATGGAGACACGTCAGTCCGCAGCTTTAGCCAGCACAGAGGTATTGTGGGACAGTGTGGGACAGTGTGAGAGATAAGCGGATTTCCCCCCCCCCCTCTTAAATGATTATCCTTGTTGAACTTTATCTGAAAGTGATGTGCAAAGCAGCAGTGAACTTAGTTGCTGGCAAGGTTGGCCTATCTTCTTTTTGAGAATGTGGGCCTTCGGTTGGATGTATGCAGAGTGTCTCTATCTGCAGAGTGATGCGCGGATACAAGGGCAGTACATGGAAATGAGCTGCTGTTATCACTGAGGTCACAGTCCCGATCACACTCTATCTGCCCACAGTCCTATCTTGAGAAAGGCACCGGTCCAATCAAGCCCTCTGTCTGTGTGTGGTGGCGACTGTTGGCTGCTTCTGAGGAGAGAACCACAATGCTCTGTTTCTCATTTCTTAGAGACTGCATGAAGGACGTGCATAAGCTGACACGTGTGCTGAACCCTTTACAGGTCTAAGAGTGAAATAGTGGCTTTAATTGAGGTATTGTTAATTCAGATCGTGCATTCTGAAGGCCACTGTAGACATACATGTGGGACAGAAATGTCAAGGGATTTTAATAAGCACTTTGTTGTGTTGAATAATTAAATCTGAAGATTTACCCTGGCTCTAGTTACACTAGTTACATTCTGCTGGGATGTGCTGTAAAGCTAAAGTACAGCATACTGCATCGATTTTGCATCATAAAGTTTTTAAAAAAATCTAATTTTCGGAGCCACTCACTTGTTCCCTCTCCTTTTGCATAATTTTGCATACTACGCTGAGTTTCAGCCAGTTTCTGCCTCAACTGCTGTGGCAAGAGGCAAGCAAAGAGATAAAAGGGCTTGGGGAAGCAGCAGACCCCAGTAAAAACAAATGTAGGTGTACCGCATACTGCTCAGCGCTCCACAGCATTCGTACTCTTGCTGCTATTTTTAGGCCTCTCCATAAATTTTCATGGTCGTCACCGAAAGGAAACTGTGCGATTTGTGCTAAATACTTCAGTTTGCACCACTTGAGCTGGTCCATTAGGGGATTTTTTAGATGTGTCTGGAAATGTGGTCCTGCTGTAGCACTCATCATCTTTTCAGCTTCAATTTTTCTTTTCCTTCTTTTTCCCGCAACACATGCTGCAACAAAAGCCCAAAGCGAGGTTGATCCCACAGCAGGCTTCATTGCTGGTAGGGCTTTATGTCTTCCTTTGCAATTGGCACTTTTTAAGTGTTGGATCGTAAACAGTCACACAGTTAGATAAGAATACTGTACTTCTGTTACTATCAGGCATATCCTGTGTATAAGTTGTTTTCCAAATTCTTCAGGTTTTTATTTCAAACTTCCAAAATTAACAGGGCAGCCTCTCTGGAAGAACAGAGTGAGCCTCATTCCAGGTTCACTGAGATGGACAGTCTAATGAGCTGCCTGTGGCAAGGTAAGAAGTCCAGCTTTCAGTTTTGGCTCCGTTTATTTTGGACTTGGACTCACAGCCCTGCTATTTTCTTTCCTAAGAAATGGCTGTGTTAAAAGTGTTTCTAATTTTGTTTGCCGCCTTTTTCTACTCGGCCAAATGTGGGCCGTGAATGTCAACATGAAGTTGGGTAATCACCTCTCTGACAACACCAGCAAAAACTGTCAGCAGAGATCGACATCAACTAAGATCTCCGTGTTGTGCTTCGATGTGTCCGTCTAAAAAAAAAAAAAAAAAAAAGTCTCTTTTCTAATCCACAACATGCATCTACTGGCATGAGGAAAACCGTGCTCATTGTTTTGCAAACTCAGTCTCCGTGGATCTCCCAGAAGACTTTAATAGACAGTTTGACTGCCTGTTTCCGTTCAAGGATTTCACAGCGTTATCAAGGACACTTGGTGATCACAGGGGTATTTATAGGCCCCGTCTCTCGCCTTGAATGCATGTAAGATGTCAGTTATACCAGTGAAACTACAAGCAGAGCATATCGACTCCACTACTTTCTGTAATGTCTGTAATGTTATAGATTTAGCTGGAGCAGATTTTTAAGGAACTCTTAGTGTTGTAGAAGGTCATTCTCTCTTTTATGCAGCTCTCCTTTCATCTGCTTCCACCATTTTATACTAATTGCCCAATGCCTCTTTAGTGCCCCGCTCAATTCAAATATTCTCCTCATCCGTTTTTTCCTCTGTCCCCCTGCCCACATACAATACACTTTGTTTTTGATATACTTTCTGTAGAATTATCATAATTTCTTTGTGAGCTCATCATTGATTTTTTTTTTCTTGCTACGCTGTGCTGCTCTGATCTTTTCCCCTTTGTTGTTCTTCTACCCACCACTAGTTAAATAAACCTCTTCTGTTGCCTTCTCTCCATCGTGAGTGTTTTTTGCTGTGGGGCATATGTGCTTTTCTTCTTGCTTTTTTTCCCCTTCTGCTCCTCCTTGAGAGCCAGAGGCAATGCCAACTCTAAGGCCGGAATGCACTCTGCATGCTATGAGCTAGAACTTATGCATGTTCAATTCTTCAAAGATGTAATTTCCAGTGCGAGCCGGTCCACAACAAAACGAGAAACATGAAGCAAAATGTGTGCTGGAATGTAACGTAAATTACCTCTTGCAGTCAATACATATAATAACAAATGGCCATTTGTGGTTGATCCCAGTAGGTACTGTATGTTGTAAGTATGTAGGGTGAGGGAGTTAACATGGGTATGTTTGGGTTTTCTCCAGCTTCCTTCAACAGTCCTAAAACATGCATGTTAGGTTAATCGGTTGTTTTAAATTGCCTGTAGGAGTGAATGTGAGTGTGTGTGTGTGGTTGTTTGTCTCTGTGTGGCCCGTCATGGACTGGCGAAGGCGTACTCTGCCTCATGTCAGCTGGGATAGGCTCCAACTCCCCGCTACTGTGAATAAACGTTGTAGACGATGGATGGATGGATGTTTGTATGGCGCGCATACCCAATGAGCCCAGGATTACATTACATAACACTCCTGAGGCTATGAGTGACATAAGCTGAAGTTGGACTTAACATTAAATGTCACAGTGGATTCAATTAAGGATAAAATCTTGCACGATGTAACAGTACATTTTATGATGCCTAAACAATCGGAGCCGGAAAAGAGAGACAATCAGAAAATACTGGGAAAAAAAGGTTGACAGCAAACATATATAACGTGTCACAATCCATCAGTCGGGTTTGGACAGTGGTGTCTATGCTGGACACTGGGTGGAAAGACTCCAAGTGTTTACTTGGACACAAGATATGTTAAAATTAGAGAGGCAACTGTCTTGTTAAGTTTGCACAGCAAGTACAAACACAATGTTGGCAGGAATTAAAATGGCAAGTCGTAATAAAAAAAAACCAACAGATTAATTACAACTGCAGGCATGTAATCAAGCTGAGGTGGCTGCCCAGTGATGAGGACTATATCACCACACACATCTTAGCATATTCATTTTACAGATAAATAACTCTTAGGGCACGCGTTTTTGCATAAATGTGTATCTTTTAAGAATTATACAGCTTGCAAGTTTCACTTCATATCCCATTTATTCAAGGTAAACGCATCATAAACTGAGTGCCAGTCAAACTGATGGATTTAAAAGCTTTTATTTCTGTGATGGAGCTTTTATTTTTTTTCTTTGGAATGAGTCATGTTATTCTTGTCATTCTTCTGAGATTTTCAGATTTACAGTTTGCATTAGCCATCATATCCTTTTCAAGACATCATGCACAGATGCGTGTGGTGTTGCTCGCAGGGTGACTTGTAGTATGGTGATAATTACACATGCGTGATCACAGCGGGGACTTCTGCCAGAGGAACATCTGCTGATAGCTTTTGTTACATCACACAGACCCCAGCCCGCAGACTCTGAGACAGTAACGCTGACTTCAGATGTGGACATTTTGCGCTTTACACTGACACATTTTGCACAGCGGCACAGAGTCACTTAGTATATGATGAAAAGTAAAAGTGGATTCTGTGGAAGTTATTTGCCAGAGTGTTTCAATGTATCAGAGAGCGGAATGTTTCATGGAGCAGCCTTGAGTGAGAGAATTTGGATACATTGATGACTAGATACTTCTTGTACATTGATTTCCAAGAATTTCAACATCCCTCAGAGACGGGGTAAGAACTTGTTACATTTGTGATGTCAAGAGGAACAGTGGTAGCATCAAGAGAGGAGGCGAGTCAAGTGCAGCTGGATGAGGAAAATGTGAGAGTAGCCAGC